CGCTTGTTTGCTCTTCTATAGGGAATAGTTGTGTAGAGAAGCTTCCGTGATTTGTATGCGTTGCCACCATTGGCGTTACCGCCATCAACATGCCTTGGCTAATGCTGGCTTCAGGGTGCGGTGCTGCCACGTCAGCGTCGGAACGTTGTGACGTCTACCCACTGCCAGCCTCCACTTTCGTGGAGAAGCATACGTCTTGGACTAGAACTAGGAACGTGCACACTTTCCCACTCCATGACCAACTCTCTTCACGATTCAGCTTCTTTGTGGCATAAAAATAAATGTGAGTTCTTCACAAAGTAGCACACTCTATACTACAATCGTGTCAAAGCTACACTGGTACGAAAGTGCCATTTATTTTGTGGTATTCCAACGGATATAATGCATGTCAACTTTGCTTAGAGTTGATGTGTGGAATGTAGAAAAATTGATATTAGAAAGTTGAGTAAAATATGGCTTGTGATAAGCAGAAAAATGCATCTCCATCTAGTATATTTTGTAGCTTCATAACTCGTCCTATTGCTTATAAATAGTTAATATCCCATTAATATTATATTCGTAATCCACTCTTGAAACTAATTAATAAATCATTCCCTTTTTATGTTAATAGTTATTTCATAGTCGTATTCATCAAGCTTGAGCATTGGAATAATTAGTAAAAGTGTGTTTTGGGATAGACAATCATTTTATCTCTTTATAACTCGACCTATTAAATATCAATAGTTAAAAAATTCCAAGAATATTTTTATCTCAAATACTAATCACTCTTGAAACTTATTAATAACATATTCCAATTTCAGTTTCTCGAACTTTTATTTTTAATACTATACCACTGTTCGGCACACCTTGTTTATGGTCTGACTCGAATAGGAATCGTTTTTTATAAAACAGAGCGACCACAAACAGCAAACAGCTAAAAGGAGCCAAAGCACTTTGGCATGGCATTTTTCTAGCTCAAAAACTGAATAGAAACCGCGTCGTCACCGTCATCCTTGTCGTCCCCATATTAGTTGGCACTGGCATGGGCCAGAAGACCCCTTCAACTTATGAGCGCCTTGCGGTTGCGAGTATATTATTTCGAGGTACTTTTTCGTATTTTTCTGCGTTACACCAAAAAATGCGGCCCCAAACATAAACATTTCTAATAAAACGAGGAGCTTTGCATATAGAGGAAAACGATTTCGTCGTCGACACAGGTTTATCTACAGCATTCTATCGCTGGTTTTACTCCCCCCTCCATACACCACTCATGTGTGTGTGCGTGTGTGTGCGTGTGTGTGTGTACATACATAGATATTAGTGCTTGCTTATGGTTGAGTGTGTGAGTGAATACCATGCTTTGTCGCATTTTAAATTAAGCTTCGTTATACTCTGTACGCATTTAAAGTGGCTAAAAAGGGTATAATAAAATTGGGCAAATATATGCGACAGGCAGAGCCAGAAGTACTCACTTCTCAACCCATAAAGTATATATATATATATATATGCTATAGCTCGAGTAATGTGTAAAACTGATATGTAAAACGCATTTTTAAGAGCTGTGACGTTGACTTTTGGCATAAACTCACTTGAAACATATATAAATGTCTAACGAAAAAAGTAATCAATTGTTCAAAAGGCATTTAAGCAGTTCTCAGACTGGCTGTGTGTGTGACTGTGTGTGTGTGTGTGTGTGTGTATACACATACACAAAGAGTAGAGCACTTACTTGTTCATTTTCATTGTTAACGTTAATATTTCTTTAGAATATTTGGTTTTCCTTTGTTGCTTTTGTTTTGCATTACGTTTTGGCTCTCAGCTAAGTAAAATGTTTGAATTATCTTTTATTTGTCTTATTCTGCTTTTTCTTTTTTTTCTGGTCTTTTTTTTTTGTAAAGCTAAGCAATTTTACGTTTTCCTACTCAAGCATTTTTCATAAATATATATATATATATATCTTCTTTTTTTTATGGTAAATAGGCATGTTTAAGTGGGGCCCATGTTTCATTTGTGAATTAGACTTGTGAGCCAAATAACATTTGGCATAGCGGGCAAATAACAAAATTCCGGGCACAAAAGTAAAAACCGTAAATGCTTCGTTAAGAAGTTAGTAGAAGAGGACAAAAACAAAAGAAAAAAAAACAAAAAAAAAATCATTTAAATACTGCTTGTGAAAATATGACTTCTGTTAAAAACTCTTTTTATTGCAAGCTTCATCAAAACCATAAAAGAGGCACAAAGGCCAAGTGATGCACATTTGTTTTCATTCCTAAAGAAAGTTAAGTTATTTTTTCTTCCTTCTCTTTTTATTAAGAGTTAAGTTATCTTTTCTTGCAATTCCTTGTAGCGAATCAGAATTTAAATATGGGGTATAATAAACTTGATAGAAAGACTTGTTAAAGTACATATATATTTTTGATTACGATGGGACAAAGTCATATCCTTAAGACTGTCTCACTGACTTACTAGTTTTAGCTTTGTAAGTATATTTCTCTCAGTGTAAGTGTCTGTGACTCCCATCATTTGAAGAGTGCAGGGCATCTGCCCAGTCGGCTTATTCCGATGAGAGTCCTCTTACTTGTTTATTAATGGCCGACGGGGATTCAGACAGCTGCTTTTGTTTGCTTTGAGACGTGCATCTCTTACAGCTTTAGAGTGCTGTGGCAGGGTGGCTGCTTCTCTGATTTGAAACTAAGAAGATTTCGTTTCGTTTGCTTCAGTTGGCTCTCATGCTTCATTATTTGCCTTTAAATTTTCTTATGGCATAAGCTTTGGATGCTTTTAAACATACCAGATCAGCAGAGCCTGAAATGTGTTTTAGCGATTTGTGCCGCCAGCTTTCAAATGCTCCATATTCAATTTCAGCTGATTTAGTCATACATCTAAATACATTTTCGTGCGGAAAATGATTTTCGTTTCCATTTAAAGCCACTGTTATTTTAAAACAGTTACAGGCACAAAATTTCATAACAATAATTAATTGTGGACCAGAATTGAGGCCCAACTGCATCATATGTAATCACTGGGGCGTTATGTGACTTATTGTTTGTTGGCTGCCCTAAATGGAAATTTGTTATGCAACTGCCAACTGCACTCTTTTGTGTATATATGAATTACATTTTAATAAGCGTATGCAAATCATAGGACCTCAAATAGAAAAGCGAGCCACAAAAATGTTAATTGTTTTTGAGGGTTTTCAAGGGACCAACAACAGTCAAGTTGGCCATGTTGCATGTGTAATTAGGACAGCATGTGCAACCCAGTCGAGCACACTTGGCCTTTCTTTTGAATACACAAATAAGATCCGATGAGTTTAACATGAAAAAGTGAATTTTTAAATGAATTCAAATGGTAAATAAACTACATAGTTACTTGCTGTTACAACATACAAGTAGAGCATTGATTACTCATAGAGGCGAACACATGTCTGAATGAGCTCATCCAAAAAGTAGTATGAATGTTCTTGGTACATGTCTGGATTACGACTTGGCAGATAAAACTGGCACACCCTCACCCTCACTCTCACCCTCACCCTCATAGTGTTGGGAGCGTGGACTTGGCCAAGACGAGAGCTGGAGTGCTCATCATAGTGTACGCCTTTCGGGACCACGCCCACACACACATGAGTGTAATTCATGAGGCGAACATCGCTTTCCGGTTTTCGCTTTTCGCCTGACAAACTACATACACAATGTGCCCATAGATAAGAGCGAGCGCAAAATGAATGAGCGCAACTGAAGCGAATGAATGAATCCCTCAACAAAATGCTGGCCATCCATGAGTATAAACTGGCCACTGTGCAATCAACTGAAAACTGCCCACAAAGGGCAGATGTAGCAGAAGAAGAAGAAGTAGTAGTAGTAGTAGTGGTGGTATAAGCAAGGCTGCAGGACGTCTGCAAATAAATGTAGACAATAAGTAAATTTTTGGATGACTTGATGTTCTTGCGGTAAATCAGCATGTGCAAATGGTCCATAAGTCCTCCATTGTCATTGTTAACGGCTTTGGCAATTATTTAATTGTGATTCTAAACGCAATTGCATGTTCAAATTGGCAATTGAGTGTGGCTCTTGTGGCTGTCTTATTATTATCCTGTTCCCATAATCTAATCATATATTCGACCCACTTATTACTATGCACTCTGCGTTAGTATCTGAATGTCTGAATATCTGAATATTTATATTGGTTGGCTCTCTTTTCTGAATGCATAATGATGCATTTTGATTCGAAATTACATATTCAGGTCATCGTTGTATTATTTCAATAGCGCTCAATATTAAAAATGTTGTGTTTAAAATGAGAAAGTATTCCATAATTCGATCTAATTGAGCGTATAAGTGCTGTAGCATCACTTATAAAAATAAATGCAAAAACTGCTGAAAATATATATAAATAAACATTTCATTTGAGTTGTGATAATAAAGTTTAGAATTTGATTTTTTTACAAGCTGCATTGAAAATTGATTACTGATTTCAATAAAATAATACTTTGTATGTTTATATTTGATTTGTTGCAGTTATTGAAACGTCCGCATGAGCTGGGGCAGATGAAGGAGCTTCAAGAACAACAACAGCACCAACTCAACAGACAACATTTTTAATAAGAAAACAACTTGTAAGCTTCACACAGCAACCAGAGCCACTCCTGGCACAAAATACACTTTCCAAAATGCCAACTATGAAAATACTGGTGGCTAAAATATGCATTTTAACATTGGTAATTGTGAATGTTGTTGGCGTAACATCGGCAGAAGCAACAACACCATCAATTACAACAACAACAACAACAACAGCAACAGCAACAGCAATGCCAACAGCAATACCAACTATAACTAATGACTCTCATAGCAGCCACGCCTTCAAAGTTTCAGAGGAAATACAAATTGGGGTTGTGGGTGCACCACTCACCACATCCACGTCCACGTCAACGGCCACGCCCACAACAACAGCCACAACCAGCACACCGACAACAGCGGCAACAGCAGCAGCAACAACAACATCAGCAGCAGCAGCAGCAGCAGCAACAACAACATCAGCAGCAGCAACAACAACATCAGCAGCAGCAGCGTCCATCGTCAACGGAAATGAAGCCGGCAGTCAAATCAGCAATGGCGAGATGGCAGCTGCAACAGCAACAGCGGCAACAACCACAACGGAAGCTGCAGATGCAGCCACCGAAACAACAGTAACAGCAACAACAACAACCATGCCAGAAAGTGAGGCAACAACGGATGCAGCAGCCACAACGACGGATAAGTTAATGACGACAAACGTGCCGCCACTTGCATCGCTGGGCAGCGTTTTTGACAGACTCTATCGGATCAAGCTGAGCCAGCCAGAGTCAGAGCCAGAGCCAGAACCGGAGCCGGAGCCGGATAACTCTGAACCGGACTCCGATTCGGAGTCGGATATTGAACACGATGCTGATACTTTAGCAGCGCGCTTGCAAATGCAAATGCAGGCAGCGGAATCATATCAGGTGGCCGAAACGCTAGCCGATCTTAATGAGGATGAACGGAAGCGCTATGGTGTCCTCTTGGCCCAACAGCCGGTGGCAAGTAAGCTCAACATTGTCGACTTGTATCCGCTGCAACTGCAAGACTTTCAGCCCATATTGCGTGGCAATACCAATAATGATGAGCAGCAGCAGCAGCAGCACACGGTTTTCACACGGCCCGATAATGCCGAGGAGTATCGACAGAATCTAATGCCCAATGAGGTGGAAATGCAAGCAGTTGTCAATCAGCTAACAACAAGGAATCCAACTGCAATCCCAGTAGCAACAGCAGCAACAGCAGCATCAGCAACAGCAACAACAACAGCAGCCCCATTGCTAACTACTACGTCAAGCTATTTTACCGGCAAATTGCTGGCTGAGCAGGATGACTTAATAACGGAAATCGAGCGTAAGTTTCAATTGAAAGAAACCACAACCACAGCAGCAGCAGCAGCAGCACCTACGGATGCATTGCCCAAATTGGCACCTGGCGATAGCTTCATTGATCGGCGTGTAAAGAAGAGCTTCGAGTTCCCAATGCAGCATCGGGCTAGCGATGTTATGGCGCTGCCACACATTGACTTTGCCAACACCAAGTTTAATACGGATGCAAATGATAGCCCCAATGCCAGGATATCCTCGATAGCAGCATCCGCTTCAGCCGCTGTTGCGTCACATCCGGAATTCTCCACGACCAAGTTCTACAACAGCAAAGAGTTGTACAACGAAATGTTGTCGATAAATAATAAACGCAAGTTAATGAAAGAAATTCCTACAACGTCAGAGGCAACTGCAGGCAGCAGCACCACCACAAGCAGCACCAGCACCACCCCCAGCACCAGCACCAGCAGCAGCAGCATCAGCAGCATTATAAAGTCATTAAGGACCACAGCGACGAGCGAAGGGTTGCGGCAAAGTTCGGAGCAACTGCGTCAACGTGAACTCATTAGAGCAAGCGAAACCACAAAGTTGGATGGGAGCAGCAGCTCGACAACACCAATGCCAACGCGACGCGTGACTTTGACGTCCACAGTGGAAAGTTTTGACAGCGCAACAACAGCAAGTACTTTGACTGGCAGTACAGTGAAGCCAAGAAAATACGAGAAGGAGCTTAAGCGAGCTAAATTATTGCTCAAAGCTCTAACGCCACCCGTTGTCGATAAACAGCAACAGCAGCAACAACAACAGCAACAGCAGCAGCAGCAACAACAGCAACAGCAGCAGTTTGAGAAACTTGAAGTGGTGGCAGCCAAAGTCAAAATAACAGCGACTGCCCCAACGAACATGGAAAGAGCTCATCAGGCCGCTAATCTTACTAAATCGGCTTCAAAGCCAATTGGGCGGCCGCGTATTTTAAGTCGCCTGCAGGAGAAAATCAATTCGCTTGAATGTGACATTCAAAATGTGCCCCAGGACTCGCATCTGTGGCGTGGCAACGAAACGCACGAGCTCCTTCTGCCCATTGTGGTAAGTTCCAAGAAAAACAAGTTCACGTTCTTCACTAAGGTAATCTAGTTGAGCGTGTTCGACTAGTAGTTATCCTATATGCAGATGCTGCCATACGCTCAACACACTCTCCACTTTTGGCTTTCAACTTTATGCCTCTTACAGTTGCCGATTATATGATAGACAGACAAACAGTCGGACAGTCGGAGAGAAGTTTATGACTGAGCTCGTCAACCTAATCAAGAGTATACATAATTTATGAGGTCGGATATGCCTTGTTCTGTGCTTGGCTGTTACCAGCATTTGCACAATTTCAGGGCACCCTTTGTACCGACTTTTATTTGCTAGAGGGAATAAAAAGTCAGCATTAATGTTATGCAAAGCACACATTGAACCTTTTTATACTCTCTACCTATAAGATTCGTTCAAAAAAAGGAATATACAATTTTGGGCACATAAATTTGCTGAGTTACAGAGTCACCTCTATAAAGTCTAAAGTTAATATGTCGCCGAGTAAAAAAGTTATTAACCATAAATACGAATATAAATTGCATTTACAAGCAACTGAGCACTGAGTAAGGCCTGAGTAAAGGTCATCTCCTAGTCGAATTGACTCGCTTCCTGCCATCTTACCTTTTTTTTATAAGTATTTTGTTGAAGTTAACATAATGCTGGCACGTTTTAATTAAATGCATGACAAGCAGAAAAAGCTTAGCCCACTTTTACTGATCAAAGGTAAACAGAAAATCAATTTGGTTGTTTTTTTGTATTTTATTAACGTAGCAAATGAATGTGGGCTGTAAAAAGCAGAGGGCGACTTTCAGATGTTGTTAATTAAATGGCTTTTGAACACACTTAAAAGGCAATATCAAAGTCCAGTTAAACATAGCCTTGGGAATGCCCATTGTGTTTGGATCTTTTTTCAAAAGGCTGTACTCTCTGATATGGCTTGATTTATGGCAAAATAAACAGGACATGCAAAGGACACATGCAGAAAACATGGCTGGCTGTTATACGAGCAGCTGGGGCTAAACATTGAATGGCCCTTTTACGTTTTGTAGTTTCACAACAACAGCTGAAACTACATTATTTGTTTTACATTTTATATTCGCATTTCATTTTTATATTCAAACAGAAGGGACTCCTTAGTATTTCCGTTAACTTGTTTGGGCTGCTTCCTTGTCACACATGTCACATGGATATGGCCAAATAAAATGCCAATCAATAATTTCTCTTGGCAAGCAAATCAGCTTGCTGACTGGATAACTCAAGAAACGATTACCTTTTTTTTTCATCTTTCTTTCTTGTTTTGGGTTGATTCGAGAATCCCAAATGTTTGCTTTCTGTCTGAGTGATTGACTGTGCTGTTATTGGTTGTTTACCCGTTAACAAAAGTCCTTTATATTGCTTGTTATGTCTGATTAGATGGTATGGTAAGCTGTGACATCTGAAATTAGCCAAGTTATTAATAATAAGCGAGCTTTTGTCGAGAATGTCCGCTTATGAGATATCAGGGATAACCAAACAAAGCTTAGTTTTTGTACATGCAGAAGTATGTTAGAAGGTGTCCCTTCTTGTTTTTATATTATCCTTTGCATACCGAACAATAAAAGGCAAAAGCATCGTACATTTTATATCCGATACAAGCCATTAAAATGACGTAAATTTCAGCACTGACAAATCCTTGGAGCAAATAAAAACTAAACCGCCTCAAATTGAGCAAGAAATTTGTAAATTTGCAAACGAGACCCTAACAGATGGCCACAAACACACAATTGTATACCCTGGCGGAGGGCATTCTGAATTTGTCACCAACTGTGTAACACATCCAAGAATACATATAAATATTTATAAAGTACGTATACAATCGACCAATAAATGAGTGGTTGTTGTATGTGGGCCAAGGCCAGGGTGTTTAGTCCTTCGGCAGCCCGGAGATAACTGTTCTTTATTGTTATTGTAACGGATGTTCGGTGCTCATGGCCAGCTTGTGTGTGTGGTTTGACCCAAACTAATAAAAAGTATAATCATTCAGTGGATCTATGCATATGGTTTGGATTAAATGCTTGCCTCATATCAGCCGCCTTAGCCGGATTTTGGCCCAGGAAATAAACATAAATCCCGACACCGGCACACAAAACGAAATGAACCTTGGACAAAGTTTATTAGCTTCGACGTGGTTAGTATGTAAATTTGTTAGGCTTTACTTACTAACAAAAAAAAAAGAATGAGAAAAATAAATAAATAAAATAAAAGGAGACAGGACACAACTCTGCTTTAGAGAACGACATGAAACTAAAATTAGAAAAGTTGTTAAATTATTCAGTTAACCGTTTTCAGTTTTTACATTTGCCATTTTGCCTTGGTTTGCTGGGCTTTTGCGGTAAGCAAACCACACCAAATGCCGACCGAAAAAAGCAACAGACCTTTTAGTCCCCTTTGACTGTTAACTTTCAGAATAAAACACATTTGCGGCTTTAGTTCCAAACCCCATCCTTATTTCATTGCCGATAATATTTAACTAGTAATTTCATCATTCTCCTCTCTCCCAGTCCACCAAACATTGCAAACCCGGCGAGCAGTGTGCTCCCAACTTTCTCACGTGGGATGGCGAGGCCGAAATCCAATCCGGTGATATTTTGATTGTCGAAATCAATGATGCGATGCTGTACACGGCCAAAAAGGAGAACAGCACCAACAGGTAAATATGATATGAGAGCACTTATAGCTTGTGTCTATCTTTATTTGTACATTGTAATCCTGATTGACTAATTGGGTAATTGTGGATCAACTTCCAGCTAAAAGTTGACTTCTTGTAATGTTCTAGTTGCTTCTGTTTCGTATTCACAACACTCATGAAACGTGTAATTAAAAGTGATTAAAGTTTACTGCGATGCATTTTTTTCCATGTTGAATTTAAATGAAGGCAAACATTAATTTTTTTGATTGCTTTATTTTTTTTTTGCTACCACATGTTTGCAGCAAGAGTAATTATCGCTAAGTGAGTAATCTAAACACAGTTTTTAGACCGTGAACCTTGGGGAATTGATGCTGTAGCAAATGTTAACGCAACGTGATGCAAACAAGTTAAAACGTTGTTGCCGTAAATTATAACCGATTTAGCTATACTCTGTATTTAAGTGGAAAGGAGCATACCATGCGGATATCATGTTGTATAAGATTAAAGTCAAAGATGCTATTTTAAATACAAAATACAGTTCCATTTCCTTCGGGAACTGATTATAGAAATTTCAATCAACCTTCACTGTCTGAATGGATTTTATTCTTTCATTTCTCGAAGTATTATTCGCACGCAATTGTGAATTAATTTTTATTAAAATTTCAATTGATGCCGTTGTGCATGTGCACACATCCGTGCGTGTTTGAATGTACACTCAGAGAAGTATCGTCCTGAATCTTAGAAAATTCCCAAAGCTCACCAAAGCTCAAAGAAAGAATATGTCTAATTTCCAGCTTTTTTGTTACTTATATTTCCATTAAAAATTATTACTTTACAATTTTATAAACATTTTAGAGAGTTTATAAATTTATTTAATATACTTTGATAAAAAAAAACTTATGATTATACGGAAATTGTAACCCATGAGCCTTCCATTGCTGTTTGTTGGGCTTCTCAAACTTTATACTTAAATTGAGGAGTCGAGAAAGTAAATTAAATTACTATTTTCTTAATTTTATGAATATTTTTATATGAAAACTACGATTTCTTTTCTTCATTTTTGACAAATATTTTCTCTTCTTAAGAAATATAGTTTTGAAAAATAATAAAGCATTTCAAACTTTTATAAATTTGTTTCGAATATATTGTAAATATTTAAAAAAAAAAACCAGCACATTTGATTTGTTTTCAGTGCGACTTTCAATGTGCCACATTTCTGGCCAATTTTCGCTGAGTGTACATATTTAGAAGTGCGTACTCATTTTCATAGAATTCACCGCTATTGTGTTATGCTGTTAACAGCCAAATTGTCCATCGATCGTTGCTATGACAGCTATATAAAGCAGATGTAGGCTTTTCGCCTCTGCTGACTTTATTATTTATGTGTCTATTTAAAGTACGCTTTAATGCTCATTGAGACGTGTGTGTTCTACAGCTACAGCTTATTATATAAAACATTAGGGGCGTTTTATTGATTTTACTTTAGCACATTTTGCGCAGGGGCGCCCTAATAGTGTGTCTTTGTGTGTGGGTGTGTGCCTATGTGTGCTTGTGTGTGTGTGAGTGTGTGTGTGTGTGTTTAGCTGACTGGTGGGCTTGGTGCATAGAGCAGTCAGTCCACCTAACAGTTCCACAGGTCGCTATTTGGTGTGGCTTCGACACGTTTTGCCATTACCATGCCCTTTTTACAGTTTATTAAATTGTTTTTTTATTTTTTTGTCCTTCCTTTATGTCTGCTCGTTCTCCTTCCACACGCATTTTGCCATTACTGCTCGATATGCTTGTGAGTGTGAGTGTGTGTGTGTCAGTGTGTCTGAGTCTGTTTGTGTGTGTGTATGTATATTGCATATTTTTGTTTGCTTTCCTTCATTTATGTATATTTTTGTGTATTTTTTGTTTACGTTATAGCGCTGGTAAATCTCTTACAAACTGCTTGAATTAATGCTAGTCGGTTGCTTTTCTAGTCCCTGGATTTTACTCAGCCCACCTACGAGCAAACTTTCCGCTGACCATTAGTCATTTTGCGGGTCAGAGAACGGGTATCAAGAGTCTCATAAAAAAAAAAATAATACGAAAATGTGCGGAGCTCAGCTGCTGGACCCTTTGCTGTTAAAAGGTTGTGGCAATTATCACGTTTCTCTTTTCGTTTTTTGCTGCTGTCTCCTGTTACACTTATCTTTATCGTGGTCCACGCTACACACACACATGTACACCAATAAACTTTTGAGTTGAAAAAAAAAGAGAAAATAAATAAATTGCAAGCTCGTCAAAAAAGATAGGCGCCGCTCTTTGAACTCTGTGTTGAACTTTGCGCGTTGGCGCAAATTAGCCTGAAGGCTCCATAATTCAGCGCATAAGTTCAATTTAAGTTGCTTGGGGCCAAATGGCGAACCGTCCGTCACAAAGACTGCTGGCTGCTGGCTGCTGTCTGCTGTCTGCTGTCTGCTGGCTGTTGACTGTTGTTGTATATTCCGCCAAGACCACACAACAATTTGGTTACGTGTGAGAATTGTGCAAGTTGTAGAATGAAGCAGGACAACAAAAAAAAAAAAAAAACGTAGCACACAATTGAGCGTGAGCAAAATAAAAAGTTAAGTAAAATGAAAAGTTGCCAACTATGAAAATGAGATGTCAAAAAAGTTTTTATTATCGATTTAATATGTGTGTGTGGGCGCCACAAATAGGGAACAGGCTATGGCCAGGGATATGGAGAGCGAAGGAGCACAGCTAACAAATGTGTGCCACCAAAAAAAAAAAAAAAATAGCAAGCAAGCAAATAAAAAAAAAAAATCAAAACGTTGTGAACGTGAAGCAAGTGAGATTGCAAATAGATTGCAAAGTGCTGGAAGTGAAAAGTTTTGAGGTCCCACTTTTCAATCTTCGCCCCTGCATTGTTATACCCACTGAGACTGACAGTGACACAAAGTACATTGAGAATTCCATTGACCTTTATTTTTGGTCCAAATATTTGAAGTGGCATATTGCTATTATGCAATTGAGTTTTATTGTCATTATCCACTTACTTTTAATACGAAATCAATTGGTTTATGTGCACAAGAGAAGGGTCCGAAATGAGATCAGTTTCGAGGGGAATTCCCTCTTTTTTTACATCAACCTATATATGTCCAATAAACGCTTGTAAACCGCAGGCAATGGAAAAACGCATTTACTTTTTGGCTGCATGCTGTTTGCGATATTGCAAAGTTTTCGTATTTGTTGGTGACATGTGGTTTTTGGGACACTGTGCTGTGATATCAGAACGCGAGGTGTGAGTTTAGAAAGGTGAAAAACTTTGCACAGCCTGTGGCTGTTTGCTTAGAGTTTTCAGCCATTTAATGGCATGAAAATAAAATTCCAAACAGGACTACTTTAATTATTTGTTTTACTTAATCAAACAATACAATACGCATACCTACTTGATTAAAGTACTTGTTTGTTTTTTGGGCTGCAAATTGGAGTGCACATAAAAAAGAGCAATTATTGTATTTATTTATAGGCAGTTTAAAGTTGGCTAGTTATCCCCACGGTGGTCGTGAGTAACATTCAACGACCGAATATTAAGGAGATGCTCATAAATAGTTGCCAGCTAATTTAATTTCCGCCTTGCGCTATTTCATTTCCGCCAGCAAAGTGGCCAAGCAATGCTTATAAATAAATTTCAATTAATTACGTACACAGCAAGATGAAAGACAAGAAAACGCCTGAGTGCACCATCATATTTATAACTTACTTAACCTCTCTCTCTCTCTCTCTCTCTCTCTCTCTTTCTATTTCTCTTTCTCTTGCTCTTCCTTTTTATCTTTCTCGTTGTGTAACCCGCATTCTTCATATTCCATTCTGCTCTACGGCATACATTCAACATTGCTTCAATCAATTCAACTGTAGCCAAAGCGCCGCCCATGCCGCCCAGGTCTACCAAGTGACGCGTTCGGGACACGAACATTGCGATGTTACCGAAGGTGTGCTCCTGGACATAACGCCGCTGGTGGTAGATGGAAGGAAACTGGTTACACTGTATGATAAGGACCTCACAGAGGGAGTCAACTTGTTAATTGGTAAGTAGACCTCGCCTCAAAACGTTCATTAACGTGTTTGCCCAGCTGATACTCTTGCTGAGCACGCTCAACTCTATGTACCATCTTAGTTCATCTTTGATAAAAAATCAGCATCTAATTAAGCAATTAAAGTTTACATTTAATTTGTTTTAAATACTCGAACATATTTCGAATCTCGTCGGAATATAAAACACTTGAGCTGCCAGCGAAAAACATATGTAAAATATACAAAGACATCAGCAAACAATGACAATTAATGCATTTGTATATTGAGATTATATTTAATATATATTTTTATTAGCTGCCAGCCAGTTCTAGTTAAATTGTGTATACAAATATTGATAGAGTATCAGTGCTGCGACTTGACTATGCCATATTAAATTTCTTGTTTTTCATTTGCCTCTGCGGCAGTTTTTAGCCTAGACCGGGCGACTTTAATTAATTTCACAACCCTTACACTTTTTTATTTCATCTCTTTTTTTTTTGTACATGCATCAATAGTGGTGTCCGAGCTGTGGGGAGCACAATGTGTACGCCTAAAGGTGACCACAAAAACCGACAATTGTGGCGAGAACGCCGACTGCTCCGGCAAGGGTATATGCTATTCGAACGGCATCATGGAGGAGTATGAGTGTCAGTGCTGCAGCGGTTTTGCGGGTCCCCATTGCGAGGAGATCGATGCCTGCAACCCCAGTCCCTGTACCAACAATGGCATTTGTGTGGACCTCTCGCAAGGACACGAGGGCAACTCGTATCAGTGCTTGTGTCCATATGGTAAGGTCATTAGTGATAGGGGCTCACCCATGCCCGTCCATTACCCGCGCTGTAAGCTAATTGTGTTAATCCGCTTAAATCCCCATTTGGGTCCGTACATCTTTTGTTTCCGACACAGGCTATGCGGGCAAAAATTGTCAATATGAATCGGATCCATGCAATCCGGCCGAGTGTATGAATGGTGGCAGCTGCGTGGGCAACTCAACACATTTTCGGTAAGTGAACGCTGTCTATTCCTAAAGCTAAGACAAACTTTGACTCGCATTCTCATATTTTATTCAATCGAAGTTAAGGCTCTTTCAATCAAAAGAACTGGACGTCCAAATACCCCCAAAAAACTCATCTAATAATATGTATACAAATTGATATGTATTTGACAGGTGCGATTGTACACCGGGATATACGGGTCCAGTCTGCCAGCACAGCCTGAACGAATGCGAATCCTCGCCCTGTGTCCATGGCATTTGTGTGGACCAAGAAGATGGTTTTCGCTGCTTCTGTCAGCCAGGTAAGTAATAGAGTTTTGTGTGCCCATTTCTTTTAATTTAAATAACCTTATTCAAACACCTCAAGTGAAAGTAAATTTGAAACGTTGATGAATATTTCAATTATTTGAAATAAGGAAATCAATGTCTGCCAATTGTCAAATGTCAATTGTCAACTGTCGATTGTCAACTGTCGATTGTCGATTGTCGATTTCTATGTTAATTTCAGTACGCATCCACAAATTTTGAACGAAATGTGGCAATATAGTCGGCACTAAGGCACATAAATTATTTCATTGGCACAAACACAATTTGCATAAATCGCCCCCAATCACAATGAAAATAAAATGAAAAGAAAGAAATGAAATGAAATGAAAGGAAAAGAAAAGAAAAGGCATCGATTGGGTGCCCCAAAACTCCAAAGTTGCCAACTCTTGAGTGTCACACGCAGCCAGTTCTCGTTGAAATTTCCATTTCATTTGCTTTGCACATTTACATTACACCCAACTACACACTTAACACCCTCCCTCCTCATTTCTCACACCATTTTGAATGCTTGCAGGCTTTGCCGGCGAACTGTGCAACTTCGAGTATAATGAATGTGAGTCGAATCCGTGTCAAAATAGCGGCGAATGTATCGATCACATTGGGAGCTATGAGTGCCGCTGCACCAAAGGCTATTTGGGCAACCGTTGCCAAATGAAGGTGAGTGCCAAATACAAAAGTCAGGCAAGGCTACAGCCACACAATCTGAATTTCATCTTGAGTATATGCGAATCAATAAACCACAGAATAAAAAATGTGCATCTTATATAAGTTGGATGGCGAAAGTATTTTATGGTGTACTCAACAAAATTAAACAAAACAATTATCTTATGCAAACGAGTACGAAGACTCACAGTTGAATAAGGCATTCACACAATTTCGTATTCAGGCAGCGTCATAATGTTTCAATCATAATTAACAATTTATCTTATCTTATCAAGATGTAATTTCTCAAAAGCCAGTCACTTTTCCTCAGAGATACTTAACACCCCTGTGTAAATATGTATAATTGAAAATGAAGCAATATGCCAGCTGTCTGAGATGTGCAGAAGATTAAATACTCTTCTCATTCTTGATAAATTGTCCATGTATGGCTGGGTTCAGTGTGTATCTCCTAGTGCATTCGGATTCTATTTGATTTATATGGAAATTTGCTTGCCCAAAAAGATATATGCCGAAAAGTATGCTTGAAGATATTTTACAAAAAAAAAAAGATCATCTTCAACAAGGGTATTCCTTGGAAGAGAATTTATCATCTGTCGATGCAGAGGATATGGACGCTGATTCATTAAATTTCCTTTCGCTGATATTTGCATAACACATATATGCATATGCCAATATGGCTGAGAGATACACACAAACGTTCTGTGAGGGGGGGAAGGGGGGAAATACAATTTTGGCATATTTAATGGAGAGTGGCTTTTACCATATGCTTTGAGTTTTTCGCATGCAATTGTTCTCCATTTGTTTTAGGTTGATTTCTGCGCCAATAAGCCGTGCCCCGAAGGACATCGCTGTATTGATCATGGAAATGACTTTAGCTGCGAATGCCCAGAAGGTCGCAACGGACCGGATTGTAATCAAATGCCACGAACGGTAAGTCATGATTTATGCACTGAAAGCTTGCGCTCTTCGCCCAAATGGCTTCCTGTTAAGACCGGGCGGTTTACTCTACAAACAGTGGATGGCAAATGGTGGTTTTGGGTTGGGTTGGGTTGGGTTGGGTTGGGGTATTCAGGCTGCGGAGGTACTGGACATGCCACCTCTAGGTGCATAACAAAAAGCCCAAAACACACACACAATTTGCTGGCATCGAACTAAAATCTTAATATACACACACATATTGACACAGTTGTACGACATGCATATACAATGTGTGTGTGTGTGTGCTGTGTGTGTGTGCTGTGTGTGTGTGTGCTGTGTGTGTGTGCTGTGTGTGTGTTCTGCGTGTGTGTGCTGTGTGTGTGGGTACGTGTGTTGAATATAATGGTTTAAGCTTCTGCCCAATGCCAGTTTGTAATTGTAGTCCGTTTCGTTGGCTATTGTTAAATGTTGTTGGCTTGCATTCGTGTTCTGTGTATTTTAAGCTGATTTACGTCTTTACAGTGTTTTCCATGTTCCACTTCTAGCTGCAATCAGTTAATGTGTGCTCAGCTTAAGGCTCTCTGGGGACAAAGAAAAAGTATCATTGCTATTAAAATATATAAATTAAATGATGCAATTTCCCAAAGTGTCAAAGATTTCTGCCGCTGACAAACAAGATAAATGAGCTTGGCTCTCAGGCTTCTATGGCAATTAATATATTTCGCATTTGTTCTATTGGAAAAATGTAGTACTTAAATAATTGAAATTGGAATTGGGTTAGCTAAAAGCCCTACGAGGGCCAAGAATTTTTTAATATTTATTTAAATTTAAAATAAAGATACGAATTAAGTTATGCAAAATGAAATGGAAGACATTCTATTAAAGATGTCAGATAAATAAATCTGGGAGTATTGAAATGTAAAATGGTTCAACTGTTATTGCAGAGTTGGGGAAACCCAGAAAACCCCAATCAGACTAAATAATGAGAAACAATAATAAGGACAAGCATATTTCTAAATATTCCACTTTCACTAATTTGTAAAATCTGAACCGATTTTCAAAAGCAATTGTTTTTAGTTGGTCATGTTTTGCCATACTAACACTATGCGAATTCCGCTCAACATTCTGCTTAACACTTTTATGCTTTTTCTAACCAAAATTTCTGGTCGCTCTTTGAAATGACATTGCCAAAATCTGACTATCTAACTGTATTTAATTAAAAACTTTGCCTGTGCTTTAAGCAAGACTTCAAGCTATGTTCACTAATTAACTAAGTATACTTTCTGAAAAGCTCTATTCCGGAGAACGAAGGCATGACTGCAACAGAGCTTAATTAAGCCGCACCCACCAAGTCCTTAATAGTTAACAAACAAGCCACTTCATAACATTTAATGAACACTCTATGACTTGATAATTTGTGGTAGCAAAATAGAACTTAACAAAATGTACATAAATTTAGCGTCAGAGCACCATAATTAAAGCTTTGCAGCGATGATGGACATGTCCACTAACCGCAAGTCGAGGCTGCTCAGCAAATCCATCTCCGGAGCGGTTTTTTGAGGCCAGAAAATTGCCAACGACAGACAGACAGACAGGCAGACAGGACGTCAGTGTCAGCAACAGAAATCTACGGTGGGAGTAGTTAGTCTATAGTTAGGAGTTGTGTCTTCCTGCAGTGGCAGGCGGCAGGCGGCAGGCGGCAGCGTTGATGATGCCGCTTGATGTCGGATGTCTGGTTACTGTTTTTGCTGATGAGATGCCTCCACTGGCGGTGTGGCCAGGCACCAGCAAATTAATTACATTTTACTATGGCGCAGAATTATGAGTGCGCGTTAATATTTAACATGCCAGCTTCACACTCACTCTCACACCCAGAGATCCACAAATTAATTGTTAGTTACTATAGCGCAAATATGCGTACGTGTCTGCACTGAGAGAAAAGCCGCTGTTCTATGTTAACGACACTTGATTTACACACACAGCTATCACATATTTTGTGTACCATAAACATAAAAATATATAGAAATTATACAATAAAGTTGTGCAAAAATAACTGGCAAATAAAGTTTATATATTCTTCATCAGCATCATTGGTTTATTTATGAATCTATGTCCGTCTGTCTGTCTATAAGAGCTATATATACCATACTCAGATCAAGTTTATTTCATTTTAGTTATATTTATCAAACTTAGTTATATATCGGTTTTTCATTCTTGATCACATATAAAGTGGGAAGCCAGCGGATCGTACCGGATTCTATATCATATAGTTGTCATAGGAACAATCGACCGAAAGATAAGTTTATCGGTTTCGGTTTTATCGATAACTTCCACCCTAAACGAGATATAGATGAAAATGGAAAAGACACAATTTCATATATAAAGCTGCAAAATGTATTAAAAGATTTATTAAGATTGGTTAACAAAAAGTGTGAACGTTGAAGTGGGGAGTAACCGAGTGCGGAATACTCTGACACCAGTGTGATAACAGCTGTTTACAGGTGACCAATAACCTCTTCGGAGAGTGGAAGGGGTGACTGTTTTTGTTGCAGCTTCAAAGCATAAAAATGGGAGAAAATGGTATACTAAAATTGATCAAATTACCCAGCATTAAACAAATGTGCACTTACAGCTCTGTGTGAGCAGGAGTCGAGCGATCTCGACTACTGCAGTCTTATTTATTTTTCTCTCAGAGTGTATTTATGATAATAGTTAGCAAAAGCGATAACTTTCTCAGTACTTTCAGCAGTGTAGCGTGAATCCGTGCACTCATGGCGGCACCTGCTGGTCGAGTGGGGATAGCTTCTACTGTGCCTGTCGTCCCGGATATACGGGCACAATGTGCGAAGGTAAGTAAGTGTCTATGCTGTGCTTATTAACACGCTGGCTATCCATCTATCCAACTATCCAACTATCCACCAATTCCCCTGCATCCGGCAAATGATATATGCAAAGCTCCCGTGCGACGTATCTAAGCCATGCAGGCCAGTCGCGATTCCCCAAATGGTGCCCAAATGAACTAACCATTTATATTCATTTTTGTGCCTGCAGATGAGTTTGTGGTTGAGACTGTCGTGAGCTCCAGTGAATTTATTGTCGACGATGTGAACGCCAGAAATTTTAATGACAAAACTTTCGGTTCATCGGCTGTGCTTAAGAGTCCCATTGAATTGCATAATGCATATTTTGCGGCTGGTGTTCTGGCGGCCGCAATTTTCATTGTTGCCGTTGTGGTAAGTTTTCGACACGCACACACAATTTACATTTACCCTTTGTCAGGAGACTATATGTAGCACGAGGTGCTGACCAACACCAAAATTGTACATTGCGGTTGTCGAAAGTGCGCAAGATGCCATTACATATTCATATTCATGTTTTTCCAGTTTCTGGATGCTTTTTTTGTTTTTTTAACGTGTGCCGAATTCTTCGACAAAGTTTAATCGAGCAGCAAGTTTACAGAAATATGCAAATGTATGCGCAAAATATCTTCCTAGATAAATTCTTAAAGCAATTGAGCACTTAAATGCTCGCAATTAGTTTTCAAGTCGATTTAAAGTGATTGTAAGGCAATTTACATCGTAATTGTTTTGCAAGTTTTTGTTTTGGTTGACGCTTAAATAATTAATTCGACTTTTGCAGAGATAAACTGTGCAATTAAATTTGCCAAACGAAATTTTGCGTAAACTTATCTTTATTTGCAATCTCTTCGAAGAGAACGTTAAACGAATTTTGAATGCCGTATACCTAATGATTTTTGTGCTCATTTTATCCAACGGTTACAACCAGGTCACTATTTGTCATTGCAACGTGAATCAGACATACCGCAAGTTCTCGACGCGTTCCAGTTCATTTATACCCATTTTGGGTTTCAGTCGGCGACCCAAGTTGCAAGGTGCACTCAATAAACATTGGCTAAGTGGCAAGGGTCTCAATGCGCCCACTGCAGCAACTTCACAGCGTGACGCAACCTCTGCGGCAGCAACAGCAGCAGCAGGCAGCCATCCACAATCGGTGCAGTCGACGCGTCATTTGCCATCCAAGCCAAATGGCAGCAGCTCCCAGACCCAGACAACGCTCGGTGGACAGCTGCAGGAGCGACCATTTCAGCGACACTTGGCCATGAATTTCGAGAATGATATGTACTATACGGTGGACTTTGCTGAGAACTCGCAAAACTCGCCACTAATACAGTGAGAGTCGGCTGTCGACGGAGCCACGGTTGCAGTTGCGACTAACGATGATGGCTGGTTAGTTAAATTTACAAAGGAGCGCCTTTCACAGCAGTAGTGCAACTCTATTACTACTAATAGGTGCTCATTCATTTCGTATCATAATAATAATAATAATAATAATAATAATAATAAATCTTGCAGTAATTCAAAGATTGTCGAGCAAAAACAGTATTGTTATTATTAACTAAAACACACATATTTAAAGTGGTCAGCAAATGAACTTTATGATTACTCTAAATGCATATTTATGGCGAGTATAGCATAATTAATAGGCTTAACATCTTGTGTACTTACTTTACTTGAGTCAATCAAACACACACACACACACACCACAACGTAAATATCAAGTATACGTTGCTTGTGCAACTGAGGTTACACAACACGGATAATGCTTCAAAATTATGTAAATGCGTGTAGTGAGCTGAATATTATGTAATTGCAATTGCAACGTATGCTATTGGATCATTTGCATTATTCAATTTAATGGTGTAATGCGAACGAAGTGCAATTTATTTCAGGAGCGACAGACTTTTATCTAGTTGGTAACATTTTACACATGTTGTTGCTTGCTTTAATGAAACCGCAAACAAAAAATACGCAAAATATTCGTATAAACTTTTTTTTTTTAATTTTATTTGGCTTTATCTGAGAGTGAGTGCATTTATTTATATAATAAATAATTGCAATAAACATTTGTTAAAAAATATGTATGTTGAACAATATCAACCAAATTTTGTTGCCAATTTAATTTGCATAACTTGGTTTAAATTGAATGTTCGTACTTTTGGGCTGGTCTAAATCAATACTAAACTAGTTATAATTAATTTTACTGCACCAATAAATTGAGTTTATTTGCATAGACAAACCATGCGCCGGAAGCAGTTATAAATTAATTTGTGGCATCTACCAAAGATTACTGTCGCTAATTTTTGTGCAGCTCGCAAAAGCCGCGGATGCAAACAGAAGCTGTTATTTAACATTCATTAATTATTAATTAAATTATTAACATAAATTGGAAATTGTTTTCGTTGCTTTCATTGTTCTGTGGCTGAAAATCTATATGTATTTAATATCCGTTTGCATAATATGCTAGATTACAAGTGTGTGTGTCCGTTCACTTTTGTAGTTGATGGGTATTCAATGATTTCAGTGTTGATGCAACGAGAGCTACCCACAACAAATGAGCTCATAAGCCAAAAACAAAATATTAACTTGCCGTAATTGGAAAAGAATTTTATAAAGAATACAATTGAAAAAGAATACAAATAATAACGAAAATAAGTTTGTAATTAAAATGCTACGTTTAGAAAGAAAATGTGACGATCAAAGAGGTCGACAAAAATAATAATTATTATAATAATAACAATAACTTACACTGAGCAAGCTTTAGCCTAAAGAAATAACTTTTTGAAAAATCTGGTATGCAAAGAAAATGCGAAATTAATTAAACATTTTTAAATGATAAGCAAAAAAAAAAACAGATAAATAAATAAAAATGAAAATTATATATGTACATTTAATGAAGGATATTGGTTTTTTGTTATAATAACAACTTATTTTAAGCAATTGAAAATAAAAACAGTTTCAAGCAAATACAAGTTCGGACTTTTCAATCAAAATGACTAATGTGGCAATGTTCTGCTCAACAACTATATTTTATTTATTTGCAACATTTATTTAACATACTCGTAACACATGTACAGCTAACAATAATTAGTTTATCATTTTATGCACACAAAGCATTATTCATGTTGGTTTGTGTAATTTCATTTTGTTTCTTTTAATGTCACTCATACGCACAGTATTCGGATACGGCGCTTGATGCACTCTCATCAGTTGTCATCATCCTGCGAACCCTTCCCGTTCACGTTTCCACTCCCATTTCCGTTTGCATTGGACTGTGATGTTGAGACCGGCTCCTCCGCAGAGCCAGCCACAATTTGTTTGGACGAATTCAATTCCGTTTCTTCGGGTATTACCTTCGGTCCCTCCTGATCCTGTGTGTCAGCACAAAAAATACGAGTCAGTCACAGAGTTTACGTTAAAAGTATATTCTTAGTGCATGCCGAATGCAAAATGCCGGATATTGATATATACATATACTTATCTATATATAAAATGTATGGCTAAATATATTTGTTAGTAGCATGTTATATTTGCAATCGAAACAATTGATGGTGAATATATATTGCATTATAATTCTGGTAAAGCATCATTCGTCATCCTCATCATCCTCATTTCTTTACTTTGTAGGATCGGATATGCATCCTTACACATTTTCTGACCAAATCATAATACCCCCGAACCGTAAATGTATTTATTTTAACAAATTAATTTTGTTTGCTTTGTGCATATTTGTTGACCTACCGCATTGCCGCCCTATGCCAAAATATATGAACTGAATATGAACGTTTCATTGCCAATTAAAATCTAAAGCAAATAAAGGGTCAATTTCACAAAAAGCGTAGTTTTTTTGTAACAATTATTTAGCTGCAAAATGCCCAAGGGACTTGCTTGATATTGAAATTGAGTTAAATGAAAAATATTTTGTTGGACCCTTTTGGCTGTGACAACTATTTATTATTACTATTATTTTTTTCAATCAATTGCACAATTATGATTGTTTGGAATCAAATTGAAAAGAGTCTTCTTAATTAAATCCAGTCTAATACAGTTGCCATTCAATTGAAAATTCAAACAGTGAAATTTATTTGGCTCTAACTCAAAAAAAAATAAAACTTGGATATGTAGATTTTCGTTCAGATGAACATTCGACATTCGAGAAAAAACCAAATATACTCTTTTTGCCACTGTGGGAATAGGGAATAAAAACCAAAGGCAATTGAATCACATTGTTCGCAATATTTTTGTTTGCTTCCAGTTTATTTTATTGAAATTTAAAAATACTTCCCTTGCATGCTAAAATTAACCCATACACATTTCAGTACCAAAACAAATCGAGTTTAAAACGAATGCTAACGGATGCAACATTTTTGTGTTTGCTTTTGAATGCTGTCATGCAGCAAATATGCTCGAATAAACCGCAGCTTTCGTTGAATATTCGATAACAAAAGCAATCATAAGGTATAATACCCATGTTTTCAATATCTGTGCTTTGATGATATTGTTTTCCACAATATCCGTCCATCTGTCCGTATGAGCTGCGCCAGAATTTCTAAGCTGGGCGTATTAAATACTTGCTCTAAAAACATCTTTTGATTTTTGGTAACTCACAAAATGTTATGTTGAGGTACGAGTATATTCACGTGGGTTATTAAAAACTTGCGAACGCTTTATCGATTCTTGTTCTTTTGCATTTTTGCTCTTATTGCACATTACCGGGCCATTAAGCTTTCGGCATAAATCCAAACGCATCAAAACTACTCGCAGTTATTTGTTTATTGAGTTTTATGGGGAAGCTGAGAGCACTTCAAAGCAATGCACCTGATTGCATAAACTCCACAACACAACACAACACACATGGATACGATTTTTGGAGAGCCCCTTTGAAACCCGAATGCTTTGATAGTTCTCAACAGTTGATGGCCATTAATTCGCATCTTTAATTCGTTTGCTTTCTGTTTCTCCGGCTCACAATAAAAATTATTTACGCGCAATTTCGTACTCACTTCTGGTACATTATGCAGTGCCAATTGGCAGTGTTGTTTTTCACCAAATTAAGTTGTTGTGGACCAAAGTCAACAATGATAAAAATTGTCCAGCCAACCAGCGGCAACAAATTAGATGGCATTCATTTGGAGTGTGTATTTCGATTTTCTCACAATCTGTGCTCTGCTCATTGAAGGAAACATTTTTTTTACCTAATAAGGACAGAAGAGCTGAATTGATAACTAAAGCCAGTTGGCTTATTTTTTCTGTCCTCAAATTTTGTCCCCACTCTAAAAGCTTTGTTTATTAAGGTTGGAACAGATGCAATTTCGTATCGTTATTGACCATTTACACGTATTAGGGTATATAAGTAATCGTCAGCTAAATGAAATCTGTTCCCCACTTTATATTTTGCCATCTTTGCCTCCCATCGATAAATCGTTTTATTTGCACCACAAGAAATACAACAAAAATAACAAACAAAAAAATACAATGCTAGCAAAGTGTGTGTGGTAAAAAAAATAGCTCAGTTCGAAGAGAAGGAAAGCTAACAGGAAATGGAAGAAAATTCGTACGTGCCATTAAAAATTGTAAAATATTGGTATGGAATCGGTGCTGGAATGAATACAGAATACAGTGTCGCAAAATGACATTTCTGTTGTGCTGATTAACAAAAAGAAGTGGAATATTTACAAATAGCTAACACATTCCATTTTTAGACTTCTCTTAATTGTATAATTTATAGAATAGTGTACTAGATATTCTAGAGCAGCGTGACACGGTCTATAAAGTTTTTCTCTGTTTCTATGTTCAGGAAAATGCCAGTATCCATATAATTTGTGTGTCAAATTTTCATCAGCAGATTCTATTTTAGCCCACTAGCTTCCTAAAGAGCTGCAAAAGCATTCGTTGCCATCGCTTCACATTTTGCGCTTCTTTGTTTGTTTACGTTAGGGCAATGTTTCTTTTTCCACCATGCAGTGCTCACATTCATTGCCATTTACCAAGTACTCCTGCATATACATATATATATATATATACATATATATATTCGTGTTCACCCAACGATTCATTGTTGCTTTTGCAACAGCTGCCATTGTTATTTTTTGTCAACTTGTGCTAAGTTGAACAACAAATCATTCGGCTTAAAGCGCAAACAAAATCAAAGCCAGAGAAGCAATTGCAAAGCCGACATTTTCAACGTATTTTTTTATTTCATTTTTTTTTTTATTTTTACCCTAGCAACATAAAAAAGAAAAATGAAAACCCCAAAAAATTACATATATATTTATTTTTGAATTTAAATATGAAATGCGTTGCGTGAGCATATGAATCTAAACGAGAAATGCATCAAATTAAACGAGAGTAAACTGTGCATGCATTAAGTGGCAGTGGTTGAAGTGGAATACCTCCACCAAACCGAGCGTCAGTGGCGCCTCTATCGAAACAAGTGGAGTCAAATGCCAACGGGGCAAATGGTGCAAGTGCGGGCTCTAATTCAACGAAATAACTAAATGCCCGAGTGGTTTGGCAAACGTAAAACCAGCATCAACAACTTCAACTACCACTTTAACAAAACCAACAACAACAGGAACGAGAACGAACCCAATATATATATATATATATATATGTGCATTTATATAGTATATATCCAAAATGCACTAGCCGCTAGCTAGCAGCTAGCTAGGCGCACTTGTCATGCAATTTCATGTTTGCTGATGTGAATCCTGTGGATTCCATGGTGCAAGGATTCGGGTGCAGTTATGTATGTTTGTATATATTTATGTTTTGTAATTCAATACGCTTGCAGAGAGAACTTTGGCTGAATAAATTATTTCTCTTAATCGGCGTGCAACCAACAGATAAGGTATATAGACTCGAACTTCTTTTTATGTTTCTTTATCTAGAAAATAGTTTTTAGTGCAAAATTTCACAATTAAATAAAATAAATTTAAAATATATATATTTAATTTTATATATTTTTTCAATGGGAAATCTTTTCTTTTCGGCTAATAAATATGAGACTATTTTTATCAACTAGTTTTCTTTTATAATTTTGATATTATCCTAAAAACTTTTCTGTTTTTTTTTCTTCTCTCTTTTCGTTTTTTTTCAAGGATTTTTAATAGTTGATTTGGTTTGATTAAATATAATATTCTAAGATTTCATATCTGTTAGTTGATTTTTTTCCCCTATCTGCAAGGGTATTTAATTGTCGGCATGCCTTAACTTTCTATCTTTAAGTGTTTTTATTTTGTCTCTTTGGGATTGTACATTACCATTAGCATAGAGCTGGGTATTACGGATAAATCGACAGCGGGTATGGTAGTTAACAAAACACTTGGATACTTTTTCATGCGGCTCGGAAAAAATGTTGATTCCACGCCCTGTTTTGTATGTATGAATGGCATTTGTTGTTGTAGCATAGATTTGTACAGTTACACACTGTGATGGAGATGCACTCGCATACCAACTCGCACACACACACACACACACACTCACACACACAAACACACACATGCAGCTCTCTTGGTTTGGACAAACTTATGTTGCACAAGCAAACAGAACAGAATGAAAAAAAAAACCACTGAAATCGAGGTTTGGCCTCTGGAATTCGCTTGCAATTTGCAAACGTTGGCTGCTTCTCAGAGCCGAAAACTCCCTGCTGTTTAAGTGCTGGCTTTGCTGGCTTTTGTTTCCTGCTCAGTGGTGTATAACCCAGCCCAGCCCAGCCCCGGCCAGTTCAGGACGACTGTCAGTTTGTCAATTTGCCTGTTAGTCAGTTGGTTCGCTCGACCAGCAATATCCACTGGAGAGTGCTGTTTGTTGCCTGAAAATGCTAAGGCAAAGTTTGGCATGTTCATAAATACATTAATTTGTTGCTGTTGTTGTTTGGCTGTTTGGTTGTTGTTACTGTTCTTGTATCCTTGTGTTGCGCATTTGTTGCAACCACATTTGATTTATTGAATTATGAATGCCAGGCAGCCATAAAAGTGCGCTTGAAAGCTTTGCTAATTAATTTTGAAATTAACTGCGGCAAGCGTACCATGGTGAGCTTAATCGAATGTGGCATATATCATTTAAGGCTTTTTAATTAAATCAAGCCAAGCCTAACTAACATTGTTAAACTAAATCTGATTATGTCTTCCAGTCCCGGTTTTTTCTTAAACATTGGCAATTAGCTTAAAGGTACTCTTTCAGCTTTGATACTCTAAGGTTGAAAATTTGTTGGAAAAAGGATTCAAAGCAATACAGGCTTGTAATAAGGAATTAACAGTTTGTTGATCTATTTAACTTCGAAAACTGACATTTAAATTATTTTCCAATTAATAACAAAAACCATATAAAAGTCAACGTATTTGTTTGAACTATGCGGATGTTTTTTTTGGCAATATTGCTTAACAAAGTCAACAAAATTACGACTGTAAGCTGTTTGTATTGAAAACAAAAATCCAATAATATTGGAATCCACTTGGAGCTGGCTGCAGAATCGATTTCAAAGCCATTCAAGCGGCAGCCAAAAGCCAGCAAGGGCAACAAATGCCAAAAGCACACGAATAAACTGGAAAATGAACAATAGACGGCAATAAACGGCAAGGAAATGCATTGGTGCAGAGCATCCGGTTGCCAAGACAGCAAAAAAAACACCGGGCACAAAGAATACGACAGGACAAACTCCTGGGTATGCTAAAAACTTATTGAGGCAACAGCTGCTGAACATTTTTAAAACTCACGAACCCTAACCGAGAGCAGAAGGCGCCATTCAAAACACAAATCAAAACAATTGACGGCAATCATCGACACAGGAAAAAAATAAAAATATATATATATATAAATATATATATATATATAAATATCAGACACAGACACACACATACAAAAACAAACACACGGCGAGATTTGCGAGTGGAATTGGATGTGGGATGTGGGATGTTTAAGACAAGTGAAGAACGCGAAACTCACCTCCAGAACGACACCCTCGAGGGCGGGTTGCGAAATGTTCTTTAGATTGCTGTGATTCAATTTGGGCGCACTGTCGGCACGATTGCGACCCAGTGATTGATTTGACGTTTTGTTATCGGCTTTGCTCAGCATCGAATTGTTCGAGGACTTGTGATTAATTTCGAGCGCCGAACGCAAAATATCCACTTTGGAGGCACTGCTGCCAATGTTGCCATGCTTCGGCACTCCCCGCAGCGATTCCACATTGTAGCTGCTGCGTCGCACCGACAAATGGTCGTGTATATCGGCCTGGAGGGGATAGGGGTTTGAATTTTTCAATTAAAAACTTTCGAATGTCAGCGAAGTTGGAAAACTAACCCGAGAGCCGCGCGGCAGCGATGACAAACTGCCAATTTGATTGTATTTGATCATCAGACTCAAGCGCTCCAGAGACATTGAGGTGCCCTGCTCCTTGGTCGCTGGCTCGGTAAGCTTTTCAGTTTCGCCCGCCTCAACGGCCTCGGCATCCTCCTCCGACTCCTCCATTGTGTGATCGAATTTGCGCAGCCAAATCAAATGTAGCAGCCCATACGCAATGCCACCCACAACGGCAAGCAGTCCCATATAGCGGAAGGCATCACGTGTCCCAAACTGTCCAATCAGCAGGCCACCCGTAAAGCTGCCACTGCCGCGCCCTGTGTGTGTTTGACGGACGCAAGTTTTTCATTAGACGAATGGTGCGTTATTAGTGATTAGATAGCAACTCCTACTGATACTGCTACTGCTACTGCTACTGTTAGTGTGTATACTTGCCCAAGCTAAAGTGAGCCATGCCAAGTACGCCAATCAGCGTGGCCAACAGACTTTTCGGCGCCAATATGGAGCAATAGGTGGCAGCTGCCACCCACATCAAATGGCAGGAGAGCGACTCCATGGCCTCGAACGGGAAGCACCACCAGGCGTTCCTAGAAAGAGGCGATGCCGCCATCAAATTACATGGCACGCACATGTCTGTCTGTCTACAGCAGCAGCAGCTCACTTACTCGATAAACGAATATCCCACGAGGCGTCCGGCGTGCGAAAAGAACGCAATGATAATCAAATTAACGTGCCCAAAGATCCGTGTGATTTTCTCAGCTCCATACAAGAATGGTATGCTGCTCACGGTGCCCACAGTAATTGTAATGCCTGGAATAAACCACCACAAACGAAGAGCCACATGAGCTTTTTTTTGCTGATACACGCAAAAAAAATATGCCCTCTATTTCAGAAAATTATCAGACTAAATCAGACAGCTCGTTCTTCTTTCGAGAATGTGAATTTTAAGTGGGCGGTTTTCATTTCACAAATGAAAATATCGATTTCTTTTCTTTTCTTTTTTATAGGGCATATTTTTTTTGTGAGTGTGCGTCGCATTGACAAAGTCACAAAGACAAACCTAACAAGTAGTTGGGAGCGCCGAGCTCCTTGAGATACAGGAATAGAAAGCTCTCGATAAAGCCCCAGAAATTGCCGAGGACAAACAGAAAACAGATGAACGCTATCACGTGCGGCATTTTCAATAGATTCCACAAATCCCGAAAGACATTATCCGCCGGCAGCTTCTCGCCCAGCGGCATCATTAGAACGGACATTGTCGATATGACAAGCAGCACATCATATGTATAAAATGCAGCCGAGTAGTCTGTGTAGCCCAATCCACGGGATGAATAGTCAATCATAATGCCGGTGATGGGCGAAAAGATGGCCATGCCAATGCTGGAGAACAAGCGTTCGCGTCCAAAGTCTCCGCCATATTTCTCAATCATTGTGAGAGCTATGGGATCCATAATGGTGACACCAGCCGACAACATAGTTGTTGCCAGGAATCTGCCAGATTAATAACAATTATAATAAATAACAACCATAAATATGATAAAGTAGACGTGACTATCACTTACCGCAGCAGAAAGTATACCCAGAATATTGTGTCATCTGTTTCCTTGTAGTCCGGCGGACAAATCTCTGGTGCATTCATTGTGAACGTGCAACGTTGCATCATGCACTTTACGGCTCCGGCGTTTACATAGGATATGTTTGTGCGTCTCACCAAGCCACCACAGCGCAAATCCAGGTCGTCCATATCAGTGAGATTGATTTGCATTTTAATAAGTCTATCCTCGCCGAATCGTTGCCTAATATCGGTGACCGTCTCGTTGTCATCCTGCTCGATTTCCATGCCCAACTGTTCCGTGGGATCCGCCAAATCTGGATGCATTTGCAGCATAAAGTATGTGGCACCCTCATTTTCCGAATGCACCCAGCTGCTGTTGTTGACAGTGCCCACTGTGGAAGCTACAAGGACCCTCATGTTAAGTATCTTTCAATTTACTTTTAATGTTAACAGACATGCACTGAACTTGTCGAAAGCACAGCAATAATCTAAACAACTGGCACAGTGCCAACAATGGCTTTAACAAATTTAAAATTTATGTTAGTTAAAAAGTAACTTCTTTTAAAATATAAAGTCATCAAATATAATTTACAGTCTGGCATATATAATAATAAAAATATATATAATATAAAACACGTTTCGATTTACTTAAATGTAATAAAGAAAAACCGTTCACAACTTTCTGGATGCTGGAGAAGTTTCAAAGTTCTGTAAGGTCGGAAACCATTAATGATGACAGGCTTTCTGCTGTCTGCTGCCTGCTGTCTGCTCTACATGCCAAACTCAGGTTGCATTTTACTCTGGTAAATTTGTTTTCGTATTTGCTGTCGAACACGCTAACTCGTTCTTTCGTTTTAATGGATCAAGTTTTTGCCTGGCCAAAACAAACTAATCAAAGTATAAGAAAGAAAAACAATACGGATATGGACATGGACATGGCCAGGTCGACTTGTGCTCAACTGTCAATGACGCCGTTGACAGGATTATAACCAGCGACTAACAAGCGAGCACGAGACCAGCTGTATTAATAATATGGCTGACGTGGACAAATGAAAGTCGACAAAAGGGCTGGGGACGGTGGCTGAGATAATAATGTGAAAGTGTCACTTACGATTCAATCCCTGCATGGACATGGCTGGCAATTCAGCTGATGATAATGATGTCGGGGGCGATTGCAGCAAGGACATTGCAGAAACGTTCTCCAGTGGCGGGAACATGGTCGATGACATATTAAGTGCATCTTGGTATCTGCTTCTCGTTTGCGTTGCAAATAGTGCTGGTAACGAGGATGCGGGCGATGATGTCGTCGATGGTGGCACAGTGGTCAGCATTGTTGGCTCTCTCGTTTCGATTTCGCCCGTATTGGATAATATCCTAGTCGCAGTTGTAGTTGAAGTTGCCACCGTTGTTGTTGTTGTTGTTGGTGTCGTTGTCCTTGCTGCGAACTTGTCTGGATCCGGCAATTCAGTGTAAAGTTGTGGATTAACTTGCTCCTGCATTAGACAATAGTCGACGCATTCATGGACAGCCAAATCCAGTTCGGGCTCCTCGGGGCACTCCCTGCTGGGGCAAGGCGACCACCAGACCTGCACAACAGTGAAAAAAAATCATTACAAATATTAGCTTATTGTGTTGCTGCAAAACTTTTCAAATTTCCTCTTTCGGAAAGACTCAAATTCGAAAAAAAACAACAACGTTCAATCTGTAAACGTTGATTTACAACTATCAACAATGTCAACGTCCGTTCGAAAGTTAACTGCAACAGTTCAAAGTTGAATGAATCTTAAATAACCACAGTATCTCAAAGCGATTTTTTTTAAATTAGGAGCAGTAAAGTAATCATTCGCCTTTCAAAAAATCATCTACGAATTTCCTCTAATTCCGAAGCATTTTTGCAGAAGAATAATTGTTGGCTGGTCGAGTTTCATTTGTCTGCTTTTCACCCATTTTGAATAATTTTAATATGATTTGAATATAACCTTTGAATCGAGTTGCTATAAATAAAATAAATAGTAGGCTGTTTTGCCGAAAAATCCTAAGGGCTTCGAAAATTAAATTGGTTACAGTTTGTCTTCAACTTCAGCTGAGAGTAGGCAGTAAGAAATTTCCTTAAAAAAAATATAAGTTGAGAATAAAAAGAAAAAATATTTTATTTAAAAATGTGGCCATTGTTCAACACTTACAGTTCGGAACTGCGTGATTGGATCAGTTCCCCATATGGGATTATATTGATGGTTACCTTTGTGGCATATCTGGCCTATATACAAATACGCCGTGAACATCCCACGTACGATGACGAGGACTACGAGAACGAGGGGCACGTTCAGATGGTTAAGCCATTGGAGAATCTCAAGCTGACAGTGGATAAGCTGAAGGAGTATGATTATACAAATGCCGAGAACAAATATTTGGTGGCCCTACTGGGAATTGTCTACGATGTGTCGTCGGCCCCATATGATTTTGGACCGAATGGCAAATATAAGCTGCTCCCAGGCACCGATATCATCGCATACATTAAGGATACGGCTCGATTTTTGTCTAAGGATTTTGAATCATATCTGAATGAATGGAAAGCGCTGCTCGAAGATCATTTCTATGCGGCAGGCGTTCTGATAACCAACGAAAAATTGGTTTCAGACTCCGATGGAAACCTATTCGTAGACGATAATGAATATAAGGACGTGAATAAAAATGAATTTGGCCAAGGAGATATAGCCATTTTAGACAGCTTAAACAATGATGATCAGCTGGATGAGAATTACACTCTCTTGGACTCAATTGAAGAAGTTGATGAATCGAATAAGACTTTAATTAACCGGATTGAAGAAGATATCATTTTTCATGATCAAAGCCACTTAAATGAAACATTTCATTGCTTGAGGGCCCCCCATCCTGATGCTAAAACATAAATAAATAACGGCTTATCTGCATATGCGCAGGCCATGTTGTCCTTGTTGTGGACATGCATTAAGTTCTTGTACATGCATGGCATGCATCCATTTCAAATTTTAATGTGAATTCAATAAGGTTGGGAGCGAGAAATGGGCGTGTCGTTGTCCGGCAGCAACGCCTGCAATAATAAAATGGTAATTTCCGTTGCTGCCCGGCATCGACAACGGCAACAGCGATTGCATATAAATTCGCTGCCATACGGCAAACTCGGCCATAATGCCATTAAATAACAAACCGCAAAGCAAGGCCCAAAGGAGCCAGCCAAAAACCTACACATAAATGTTGTCATGAGCTGCAGCAGAGTTGCGCTTCGACATTTCTTGCTGCTAGCATACCAATTCAGGGGAATAAGTTGGAATATGTAACGCAAAACACATGTTTGTGTAAAATACATTAGTCAAAGATCAGCCAGATCCAGTTTATCTCGGGCATTGCAGGCAATGTTCTAAATGAAGGGTCAACTTCTAAATGAAAGCACAGCTGAAAGCATAATGAAAACTTAAAATGATGCAAGGTTAAAATAACTTTTAAGCAGATATTGCATCTTCTAATAGTACAATCATGTCTATATAGATTCTCAATATTTATTAAAATCCAATAGAATTAAGGGAAAGTTAAGTCGTACTAATCCACGAGACAATTTCCAGAAGTATTATCTTATGATGATTTCACATTTTATGTTATATTATTTATTGAAAAGAGTATCTTATTAAATATATTCATTTAACATTTTTTTTGCATAAATTTAGTTTATCTTCCACATTCATTCATAACATTCTGCGAAAATGTTGCATTTCTTTTTGGAATAATTATAACTCGTCATCAAATAGCAAATTTGTATACTTGTTGTTGGAAATAACTGTATATGCCTATGTACACCGCAGCATGTCTTGCATTCCCGTTTTGTAGTCTTAATCTGTTGTTGCCTGCGAGTAACGGTAATTGTAAGTTCCTTATGATGAAGACCTTCTTCGATGCTATGTTTAAGCTATTTTCATGAAGTAAGAGTCAGTCGCTTTTTTTCGCTTGAATCGCGTAGTATAAGTCGGATGAAGCGGACATATATTCTGTATTAAATACTAAGCTCGGAATAAATATAAACCCCAAGTTATAATACTTGTTTTTAATAATTTTATTTTGTGGATTATTTCTTTAGTTCACTTTTCATTTTCAATTTAAATTTAATTATTCACTTTTGAAACTATAAATTTTTGTTATATTTTTTATATTTTGAATTTCGTCTGAAGTTAAATTCCACAGCAAAATATATTGCTGTATTGTACAAAATAAATAAAAGAATTGTTCTTCCACATTCATTCATAACATTCTGCGAAAATGTTGCATTTCTTTTTGGAATAATTATAACTCCTCATCAAATAGCAAATTTGTATGGTTGGTAAATAAAAATAATACAATTTTGCAATTCGCAGAAAAGAATTGAATTCCTTATTATGCTTGTGCAAATAATACAAATATTTATACAAGTCAGAGCATTCAATTCCGAGAGAAAAATATTGTTGCCAATAAGTGCAGCTTAAAGCTGCAGCTATCTTAATAATGATGTTATTGTATTTTATGTGCACATCATAAATACAAATTCAATATTCCAGAGTGTGTGAGTGGGTGGATGGGTACAGTGGCTTCACATTCACAACGACAAGATGTGGGAGTGTTTTGGTAATGTGAGTGCGTATCTCAAAGATACAAGATACTTTGCGCAAATTCTCATTTAATGTGCGCAATGCGTGCGACTAGCAATGGGCCAAAACCACATCGAGGCCCTTCACACGCAGGTCCATTGCGTTTCATTACGGCTAACGGCAATGGGGGAAGTTACACTTACCGTATTGCACCGTACACACACACACAAACACACACACACACAAACAGACACACACACTCGCATAAGCTGAACATTTGTGTGCTGTTAGTGTGGCTTAAGTGCTACAAAAAGACACATAGATAAATGTACGTGATACACACACAGGGAAAGCCGGCGTGCACTCCAATTTAAGTGTATTTTTCGGCTTGTATTTTGGCCTTACTTATGAGTTCTTCTACAGTTCCACAGTTCTACAGTTTTACCTGCTTGTCTACTGCTGGTAATACTGCTGCTGCTCGCCATGGTTGTGTTCTAGTTGGTTGTTATCTGCTAATAGGTTTGCACAATTTCTCGACTAACGCCTGCCCAAAGAGTGCCGACTGCAAAAGACATTTGAGTGATTTAGTACACGTTACCGGTCAGTCCATCAGTTCGTCAGTCCGTCAGTCAAGGCAGCAAGTCAGCAAGTCTGCATTTGATCTGGCATTTAAAAAGCACTTTCTGGCATTGTTTCGAGCGAATGTTAACTATTCGTTTTACAAGAACTTACATCTTTTATAGACGGAGAACTGTGCTTAAAGTTATTACACATACAAGTCGGTGAAGGACTTATTGTTAGACATCAAATGTACTGAAGATTTCTGCTAGTGCATAAAATACAATGCACATTTGTTTTATTTCATTCAGCGCCGTTTTTTATATTTTTTATTAGAATTTAATGTTTCTTAATATTCGCAACGTTCCAAGCCGTCGCAGACTTAAGCCCATCTATCTTCGATGCTTCGCTGCCGACCTTTTGGAAGCCCTTTTGTGCTCAACTGTGCCCTTCTCGGCACTGCTGTTACATATATTAGCAAGGAAAGCGCTTTTCCGGCATTTCAATGACAATTCAGTACTAAAATTTTTATTATAACAGAGGAAGCAGCAAAAGCAGCACCAGCACCAGCCGGACACACAACAAAAGCAATAATGACAGCAGCAACAATAACTCAAACTATATACATAAACATAAAATACACAGAATCCATAAAATCAAGAAAGAAGCGCTATTTTTGGCACGCCGACAATTATATGCCCCTGCCGAAGTCCAAATTCTCACATTTTATTCAAATTATTCATTTAAAAATTTGTTAACCTTTCGAAATTCTTTCCAATAATTAGTTTGTCTAAAATACTTTAACATATGTAAACATTTTTATTTAAAAAATTCGTTAAAATAATTCGAGTTTGGTTAAATTACTTTGGAAATATAAATAAGATATGACGACTAGATATTGTAGCAGTGAAAACTAAATAATATTTCTTTCCCAAGCATTTACTTTAATCACAACGATTGAGCTCTTCCCAAATAATTATGAGCCAGCCAAAAATCTGCACAGAATTATAACAGGCAAAATACAGCCACACTTTACACAAAGTAGATGCCAAGCAGAGATTAGTTTGCATTAAAGAAATTTACAAGCATCTCGACTCGACTGTTGATATATGCAAACACTTTATTTGGTCATAGATCTCTGCTCGAATGCATTGCACACATTGCACACGCCAAAATGATGCTGCTCATTGCAAAGGGTATGAATAAAAATGTGAGGCATACAAATTTGCTCAATGCCTTTTTGGGAACATCGATGTCGAGCATCAGCATTTATAAGGTCCAGTGCCAGACAACCCACACAAACGACACACTTGCACAGATATTTGCTATATTTGAATGGTTATACATGACACAAATTTATGCGCATGCAGAAATCGAACAAAAAATATATATATACAAAAAAGCAGAACAGAAAGTGGGCAATTTAAGCAGCCTGCAACTTTGCCCCACACAAACACAAACACAAAATATTCCGATTCAGATGAAAAACAGACAAACTGTTGGACACATCCACAGATGCAGTCGAATAATGCTAACTGGGTGAACCTCACACATTGACAGGTACTCCAGACACGCACACATCCAATGCGTGTGGCTTGTTTGTGCTCATTTTTGGGCAGTCTGTGTGTGTGTGGCTGTGTGTGTGCTGTGTGTGTGGCTGTGTGTGTGTCTGTGTTGTGTGTGGTCTCCCTCTGTGTGTGTGCTGAGTGTGCTGTGTGTGCTGTGTGTGTGAGCTAAAAGCTGCGTTTGTGTGTTCGCCAACGTGTTTCAGAATGATGGGCTCGCAGCAATTCGTAGTTGGTTCTTCTTCTCCTTCTCTGTTTCTTTATGTGTTGTGCTTTACTTTTGGCGTGGCATCACACACACAAACACACACACACAGTACACAGACGTACTCCACACACACACACACACACACACACAATGACATGTCGAAAGAGACAGAGAGACGTTTATAACCTCACTTGTTAGCCTTGTGTGTGCGTTTTATGGCTCCGTGTGGCAATGGGCGTGTTTCTTAGTGTATATGTCTGTGTTGCATGTGACAGCGTTATGGCGCCTCAAATAACAGCCGGCATTTATGTTCTGCTGCTGCTTCTAATACTGATGCTGCTGCTGCTGCTGCTGTTTGCTGTTGCTGCTGCTGCTGATGCTGCTGTTGCTAGCCGTTTTGCCAAAAATGGAGACATGCAACCGTATAGCACCGCTGAGCATACGTACACAGACACTAACACACACACACACTAACACACACAGAAGGTTGCGTGTGGCGCAATTGAAAACGTGTTCGTTGCAGTAGTTTGAGATAAGTAAAACATTCCCATGGCAATACATGCTGTACATGCTTGTATTCAAGCAGAGGTATTTGTTTTAGAGACATGCTGAAGTAAATTAACTAAAAGTGATATTGATAGACAAAGGATGGCTAAAGTTAATAACGGCTTGCACATTACTTTCATTAAGCATGGCTTAATTATGCTCAACTTATAAATACAATCTTTTCATTGCATTAAATATGTTTAAAAAAATAAAAATATATAAACAATATATAAAGCTATGAAAGCAACTGTTTGGTCAAACTAATTTTGAATACAACTGATATTGAATGATCAGCTGTTAATTTGTCAATTTATCGCTACTTTACATAACTCTGTTAAATCTTATTCACGTATGTAAACACTACATTGTAATTTTAGTAAATATCGATAGTTTTTACTATCGAAGAGTCCGAGTTGGAGACAAGCAAGCCTGACGCGCGCTTTTGTTTCGGTCATATATAAACTTGCTAAATTAAATAGTTTGAACACCGCCCAGATCTGAAGTTTCATGTTTGCATAAAAAACGCTTTATGCATCGAATAGCAACGAACACATTTTCAAAATTTGCAAACACAATGCTCTGTCGAAGTTTAAGCTAAAATGGCCTGAATTACCGAATTTTGGCTCATACCCAAAAATCTCGTGCCAATAATTTGAAAGCCTTGAACCAGTTTCCACTGGATTTCAATTACACTTTAGTTTGAAAACACATATTTTTTTAACATAAAGTTCTATAACTCTGGCATTAAATTATCTCAGCAGAAGCCAGTTTTTTTTTGACTAGTTATTGAAATATTATAATATATTGTAATCCGTGTAGCCAGTTTGTCATCTGTCATACCTGTCAAAACTTGATTTGAATTGAGCTGATTGAATAAAATCTGTTTTCACATTTATCACAAATCAAAAAGAAAAAAAAGATGAGGGCAACGACCATTTTTTTAAAATTTGCCAACACGATTCTCTCTAAAGTTGATGGTAAACTTTCTAAAATCGAATGATGGCACGTATTCAAATATTCTAGTGCCATAACTTTAAAAGCTTGAAACCAATTTCCGCTGTATTAAAATTGCTTTTAGTTGCAAACCATATATTTCGAATAAAATTCATATTATAATTCTACAACTTTCATATGTTATGTTTTTGTGTGTGTTTGTGTGGTGCTTAAGCCAAGACAAGTTTATTTCACTGACTGGTGATAAAAATATAATCCAGAGAATGTGTATAATTCTAGGCGCCTGGGATTTTTATGTCACGCCAGAAACTGTCATGGCTGTCAAAATAGAATTTGGACTGAGCTGTAGTGTGTGTCTGAGTGCACATTTAAGTCGCATATTATGGTCATTGATTATGACGGCATCCAGAAAACACTAGCGAGTGGCTTTAAAGCAGATTCGCGTTGCCAGTTGCCTGGTTTACTGGGACAACACATCCACCGAATATTGATGGCTTAATTATACTTGATGTTTATGGGCGAAACGTGATTGCTAAAATCTAATAAAAATCATATTTGCTCCGGACAGCCATTAAACTCTAATGCCAGCACACACACGTGATAGTTAACCACCTCCGACACTCAGTGTCTTCGGGCTACTTAGCTTTACCGACTCTGTTGTCATAGTCATCATTATGCTGTGGGTGCATTACTAACAAACAGCAGCAGCAACGACAACAAGAAACCGTAAAGCAACCGCATTAAATCTACCGTGCAACAGCTGTATGCAACATGAGAGGCCCTTTCATGCTGCTTGTAGTTCATGTTCGCAACTTTGTGCACTACATTTAATACCTGTGGTGGCCGGGTGTGTGTGTGTGTGTGTGTGTATGTGGTTTTATGTATGTGTGTGTGTGTGTGTGTGTGTGTGGGTATTTTTGTGACAGTTAGTGTGTACTTATACTTATAGAGCAGCTTGTGCAGACTGCATAAGAGCAGAGTCACATCCCTTGTTGTGGCAACGTTATTACTTTCGACTTTCAACATCTTCGAAGTTGTCAGCTCTTAAGCAGTTGAAGCTAGTTGCTGTTTAATCCTGAAGGCAGTGCCTTAATGCTAAATAGAAAGAATCTTTTGCGTGGCTGTTGCAAACCAATTTTCGTTTTCAAAGCACGTTTATCCATTACGATTAGAGCGATGAAAGTAATTAAAGAGAATATTTCAACAAGACAAACTTTTATTGTGGTTGTTGTTCTTATTTTTCCTGTTATTGTTGTTGTAGTTGTTGTTGTGGTGAAGTGCATGCTTACCTCGATGTCGCCACTGTCCGGATGTCGCAATACGAACGCAGATGGCACCACTCCTGGTATCTCCTGCTGCGGAATGAAGAGCAGCGAATGATGGAAAATTGCATTCAGCAGAAGACTCATCACAACGACTGGTTTATATTTGCCAAATTTGTCAACGAGAAAACCTGACAAAGATTGGCAGAGAGAAAAATACTGAAGTTGAAATGGAATAAACCATGCGAGTGTGTGTGTGTGTCTGTGTGTGGCTGTGTGTATCTGTATATATGTATATTTATCTGTAACGGTAACGGTATCTGTATCTGTGAGTGAGCAAAGTGTTGGCTTAAGTGCTTCAGCTTTATCAAGTAAGCAAGCTGACTACAAGATGTCCCTCACCATTTACAAAGTAAGTCACAATTTATTCATAGATTGAGATGAATAGATTTGGTCAGCATAAAAGAAAAATACCATTTCCTAAGTGTAATTGGAAATAATACTGAGAAGATTGAGTAACAAGACTTAAGCTCTGCTTAGAAGCTGCATTCAAGCATATCATTTGAGCTGACTCGTCCAATATTCTCAACAAATAAATAAATAAATAAATAAATTCCGCATGCCCAACAAAGTATGCAACGGATTTTATTTTAAATTAAAATTTATAATATTTATCTTTAAATGTGAAAATCTGAAATTCAACGTTGAACAGATCTTTATTGGTTTGTTTTCACATTTTTCACACAACTCTGTGATGCATCAAATGTATCTGTGAAAAATTGAACTGGTCCGCAATAAGAGATGAATGAGTAGCAATAAAAAATTGATGATAAACAGCTACTAACTAAGTCATCGACTGCTCGATTCTCTGCAGGTAAAGTAGCTGAGGCCAGTAGATAAAAATAAATGAAATTTTAAAAAAATTGAGCTCAAGTGCAGTTAACTATTGATTAAGTTTCTTTTGCCTTGCCTGCACTTCTTTTGCCAACTTGGAGAGGTTTCAGTAACAATGTTGTTTTTGTTCAGCCTTCAATCTTATTTTCTTATTTTCTTGCAAACTTGGCATTTACACACTTTAGCTTTGCTTGAAGAGAAATTCAATACTTATGTCAAAGTCACATATGATATCGCTGTAGGAAAGTTTTCTCTTCTGCTTCCTGTATTCCAGTTTATCAGTTTTATTTTGCACTGCACACACTCTGCCACTTCACTCACCTGTTATCGGTGGACTGAGGAAGGTTGTAAACGGCAGCGCCAAATAGATAATCGCAATCTCCTCCACCGTCAATCCAATCGACTGCATGTGTATCGTCAAATAGGGTAGCAGTGATGAAGTGGCTATAAAAAATAGGACGCATGAGTAATCATTCACATACATGTTAAATATTTATGCATAATATTCTCGTACATAATCCAAAGCTGTGCTCTAACTGTTCACATTGCGTCCTTTTAAGAGGTTTAGCAATAATGTTTGGCATTTGCGCATATTCAAATGACTCTTTATGCTCTGCTTGATAAACGCAAAATTGTTAATCAGCTTTGCTCGCATAATACATATTTGACTGTAAATTGATTTAAAATAATTTCATTTACTTCGTTTAGGAAAATATCATTTTTATTATGCGCTCGGAGCAGAGGCAGCTGTGGCAGTTGCATAAAGACATTTGTTAAATAAAATCACTCAGGCAAAAAAAATGGGTAAAGTTTCATCAAGAAAGCTCAAGGACCTCGAGCCACGCGCTGCATGTGCTGGCTGTGCTGGCTGTGCTTGCTCCGCCCCCTTGCCCACCTCCTCGAGCACATTTCATTAATAAATGATGGACATACAAAACAAGCGGAATGCGTCCAGGTGCAACCAGAAGAGAATAACGGCAAATAATGACGTCAAATTGGGCGTGGATAAACCGAAAAATCCCCCGGCTCGAGGATTGCAGATGGCCCTCGACAGACAGTGCAGAGAGAAAGACAAAGAGAGCGAGAGAGAGAGAGAGAGACACACACAGAGAGAGAGAGAGAGAATCAGAGAGAACCTTGACCAATTTCAGTGCAAACCCAATCCAGTTGCACGCAATTGGATTGTGGATTGTGCTTCGTGCCATGAATGCAAATTGCTCTTTAAAAAGCATTCTGCACTTTCCATCATGCTGCTTAAATTTCACTCGCTTTTCCAGTGCCTCAGATAATTATCAACGAGTGCATGCTTCATTAAGTGGCATATGTGCTTGCCTCTGTGTGTGTGTATTTGCATGTTTATTTTGAAATTCGTAACGACAAAATGGAAATCATCGCTGTAGGAAAAACAGTGGAACTTTCCCTTATCGAATTTTCTGTGGATCGACCGAAATTTAGTAGAGCCAAACTAGATTCAATTTCGATTTTAATTAAAAAGTGGAAATGCAAATTCTAAATTTAAGAAAGACTCCTTTCTGAAATGCAGAAAATTGTAATGAAATTTGTCTCAGCTTCAAATTAAATTCAATCAATTTGTAAGCTATGCAAAACGTTTTTATCTATTAAATATTAAAATATTTATGTTTAACAAAAAATATTAATAACAAGATAATAAAGTTAAAAGTTATGTATATAAAATAAAGCACAGAATTTTGGAAAGACACAGAAAATATACTTTCTGTTTAATAAGATGAGTTGCTGTTGGCGCCAGGACAATGTCGAATTTCAAGCAAAAACAAAAATATTCAAAGTATTTACTTCAAATAGAAGTTCAACTGTGTAATTGACCTGGGCAGATGTTCAATAAGTTGCTTTATAAATGTTGTCCTTTTGGAACATGCAGTGTGAAAATGTCCGGTAATGTTCTGAATGCGGATTACTTTAAATGGTAAATGGTAAATGGTAAACTGCATCAGCGCAATTGCTGCAACTTTCTGTGTATCTGTATGTGTGTGCGAATGTATCCTTAATGTAATAACAATTAATTGCTTTATGTCTGCGTGCGTGTTTGTTTGGTCTTTGGCACAGCTGACGGAAACGGAAATACATTAATTTCAGGGCTGTATGGATCGGCGGACATGTTCGTCATCGCCTCGCTTTGTGTCTCCGTGGTGTGCATTTATAATTAATTTCAAGCCGGAGGCCGCTCCTGTCCGAGCTCTGATGACACATTTATGTGGGTACTTAAATAAGATTTATAAGCTGACTTCAAAATTACACATTTTACAACTTAAAAAACGCTTGCAACTCAAAAATTCATGATTGTAGCTGGCTTAGATGCATTACTTAATCGATTAGGTACAAAAACATTCAAAATTATGCAAATTATTGTAAGAGCACGTTGCCAATTATAAATGTTGATTGGTAAACGCAACAAATGCCAACTTGCCGCTGGCCACTTGAGAAAGTCAACGACTTGTTGTCCTTGGGTATATATAAAATCAAGAAAATGTTAACCGCTGGACAGCCAAAATAAAAATCTCGGACAAAGGCATGAATATTAGACCAAATAAAAAACACATTAATACTAATATTTGCGGCAATTTGACTTTAATGGCATAAGACAACATGAGACCAAACTGCCAAACAGAGGTCACATAAAGAAAAGCCGACCGAGTACGGGGATGGCGGGCAGGAGAGTGAGACGGAGATACACAGAGAGACAGAGAGAGAGAGAGAGAGAGAGAGAAAGAGAGGGAGAGCAGCAAACAATCGCAAAATGTTTTTGTCATTGACCGCTAGCAGCAAAAAAAAAAAAAAAGAAGAAAAACGGCGCACGGTCAGATGACTTGACTTGACTTGAGTTGATTTAAGTTTAAGATACAAACACACACACATACACATATATATGTATTTATATATATATACATAGCTAGACAGATAGATACATAGATACTTGAAGGCAACTACAAGGCGAATGAAACTAAACCTTTCTCAAGCCATAAAGTACATAAGATAGATTTATTTACAAAAGCCGCACACACTCAGTCAAATGGTTGTATGTCTTAATTGCCACATGCTGAGAAAAGCTGAGCAACTCATATCCAAAGATGCATCATTTCTCATCTCTCTCTCTCTCTCTGTCTATCTCTCTCTCTATCTCTCTCGCTAGTGTTTGTGTAATTAAATTTATACAAATGTGTAACACATTTTGTGCCTAATTGATAGCTTCCGACCAGCCCAGTCCCCCAGTTCCACAGTTCCACAGTTGCACAGCTCTACAGTTCCATACTTCTACAGTTATACAGTTCCAGATCATCACACGCACAGAAAGATGCTAGATAACCACTTGGATCGAGGGGCAGTTGCGGGTGGCAATGCGTTGTGATAATGAATTCAAAGATTTCACTGCCAGCCTAACTCGCATCTCATTGTGGATAGAATTGCGAGACTGCTCACTGTCTAAGTGTGTGTGTGTGGGTGTGTGTGTGTGTGGGTATGTATGTGTGTGTGTGTGTGTGTGTGTGTGTATTTGTGCTGGCAAGTCTAAATTTAATTGCGTCGGTGTTGTATTCAGCTTAGTTTTGCATTTCATTTAATTTGATGTTTTGATTTGGACAATCAAGATATAACAATTAAGTGATTACAAACTAAATGAAAGCATTGACTTAAGCTTAATTCCACGAGTCCAAGGACCATTTGAGAAATGCTTAAGCCTGAGTGAAATCAAATATTTAATTATGTAATAACTTCCAGTGCAATTGCGCTTTGGGCATCTTGGCTAATTCACACTGGTTATTTTTAAATTTGTTGATCTGATTGGTTCTTTGGGGTTTCCCTATCGAACAAATCCTGCAAGTCCCTTAGAAATTGTATAAATTCGTTTTCTATCAGTTTAACATATAAAATTGTATTTCTAATTTTTGTTTTTTCTGATGATTAAATAAATAAGTAAGTAAATGTGCACACATTTTTACTACAGAGGGCATACAAAATCCAGTTTCTGTTTACATATCTACTAATCAATATATATATAGTTTACATAGATACAACTCCGTGCGTAAATATTTGAAACTTTTGTAGATTCAATGGGTAAACAAAAATACGAGTTGTGACACAGAAAACTTTTATCCACGTTCATCTTTTATGTGACATTTTTAAAACGCTGCTCCACAAACACAAAAACATCGATTCCAAATTGAAGCAAAAACAAAAAACAAAAACCAACGCAGCCATTAAATGTTCATGGGTGGACACACTGGCGTCCAGTGTTGGTCAATGGGTGTGCTAAGCTATTCGTTCTTTGGGCAGGAACCGGCTCTTGATGTGAATATTTAAAAGTTGCGATAAAATAATAATTCTCAAATCAAATATTAATTGTAATAATAAAGGTGCGGCTTAGTTGCAACAGGTTAATCTATCCTTTTTGGAAAGTATATATCCACTTGCATAAGTGAAAACCAGTTAATACGATTGAGTAAATTACCAAAATAAATAGCTAAGCAAATATAATATCTAAACAGTTAGTCGGGTTCAAGTTCCAATCAGTCTTCATATGTGCAAAAAGTTAGCTAAGCTGGAAACTACGTGCTTAGTTTAAAATATGTGCATAAAAGTAGTAAAATCAAATATGCAAATGTTGAATATTTAAAATTATATTAGAAAAATTACGAAATATTATATTAGATGGTAAAAGTTTGTTGCTCACGCAATGTACAATTAACTCACAAACGAATCTACTATTTTCTCTTCCAAGTCAGAAACGAATTAGACCTGAATTTTAGAAAATTGCCGATGAAAACAACAATAAATAATTTGTATCGTCGTAAAATCGAGATTTATTTCAAATTAAATTATTTGAATAAATTAAATAAAATGTTGGCATATAATTAACTGCAATTAAGTAAAGAAAATACCCTTGTTTTTTCGAAATATACTTTCTGAATAACATTCTAAAATTCAGTACGATTATTTTTCTGAGTGTGGCGAGTATTACGCTAGATCAAATGTCACAACTTCTGCTCACACTACTGTTACGTATTAGTTTTATTTTTTTATATGCCTATGCCCATATCATAAGCAACAGTGTAAGCCCAGTCATAATTGGGTTAAGCCCTAGCACCACACAGACTACATTTGAATTGTGTGTTATCAGCATAAAAGGCTTACACTCACTGACTCGATTCGACAACAAGCTAATTGCACGTCACGTTTGTAAACCCCATCAAACAGCCCTCTCCCCCTTCCGCCCATTTATAATTGGATTTTAATGTGATAGTCTTAATGGTATTTGAGTACTCACCTCCGTACATGACAAAGAGCGTTATCTTGAGCATAATCAAATTTGGATTTATGCCTCGTCGCTGGCAGAATTCACCAAATCGGGACAATTCGGTTCTATCTGTGTGGACGGTTTCCGTGACCGTCTCCTCGCTGGCCATTTTGACCATATCACGCGCACACACACACACGCACACACACAATACTTATTTGTTGTTGCTGTTGTTGTTGTTGTTGTGACAGTTTGAAGTTCGTTTCAATGAAATGCAGCCGACGTGGCTGGCTTAGTTTTGAGTTTCTCGGTCAGACACTCACACACACACATGCGAAAGAGAGACGCGCACACACACACACACACACAGGTACAGTTGCTAGAGCACACACACCCACTCAATATGTGTGTGTGCGGGTGTGGGTGTGGGTGTGGGTGGGGTGTGTGTTTGCATCTACAGGGTTGTGACTGACTTTTTCTTATGCTTTTGATTAAATCCAATTGAAATTTGTGATAATAAACGGCGCACAAAAATCGTTTGTTGTCGTTGTTGGTTTTTTGTGTTTGATTTGTTTTTGACAAAATCGTCGTATATATGCACCGTATACATACACACATATATATATATGTATATATCAGATATGCGTATTACATTGTGTCTCACTCTAAAAATAAACCATTAACATTTCTCAAACGTCGTTTCTGATTTGCTCAAATTTCTTCGCTTTTGGTTTATTTTATTTGCTTTTGCTGCTGCTGTTGCTGCTGCTGTTGCTGTTGTTTTTTCAAGGTTTCCTCGTTGTTGTTTGTGTGTTGCACTTCACTTTGCACTCTAATCACATCTTTTGCCTGCATTGCGTATACGTAATTTAAATATTCTTTATACACTGCCAGTTCATTTTGCTCGGGGTTTTTTTTTATATATTTATTTGGGTAGGGGCTGGAGGGTGTGACTCGGAATTGTTTTTGGTTTCTGTTTTTTTTTCTTCTTCTTTTTCTTCGTTTTTTTTTTTGGGGCTGCGCGTTTTAAACTTTCACAGTCGCTGTTCGCACCGAGACTGAGAAATGTGTTATCCGAGCAAACCCCAAAAACGATTTGTGCATACAAGTATGCTAACTATATCTTTTGCAATCTCCAGATCGGAGCACAGGCACACAATGTACAAATAGCCGCTAATCTGTGCAGTCAAACGTTGCTCACTTCCACCAAGCTGATGATCATGACGATAAAGCTGATGATGATGATCATTCATCACGATTATGATATTCTAACTCATAAATTGGACCAGTTACCGTATCGTGCATCGCCAGTGACAGCCTCTCTCTGCTGCCTGCCTGCCAGCAGATGCTGATGCTGATGCTGATGTTGTTGCTTTTGATGGCAGACGGCAGACGACGACGATGGAGACAGTTGAGATGCCCGAGATAATGTCGTTAGTCTGTTTTTCTTGAATGAAGATAACAGATACAGCAAATCTGACGCGCAAAAATGTCACGCTGACTGACAGCAGCCAGATTGAGAGGATAGGCCAAGGTTTGCTTAAAAGGTGTTAGATCAGATCAGGTGGGATCAGGTGAGTTGGGCTGAGATATGATCAGCTGCGATAAGGTGAGATCAGGTGAGATGAGGTGAGATGAGGTGAGTTGAGTTGAGGTCAACATCTCTTTCCATGGGCAATCCTTGATTCTTATATGATTATGATCACAGTGGTTAAGTGATGATATCTATAACGTTTTGGCATATAAACCTTGAAAAATCATGTGAACAATTCAACATATTCCTTGGCTATAGCTTTGTTTAAAGTGATACGATTTACTAAAATAGAGGTTTATTATCATAGCTTGACTTCTGGATTAACTCTGTATTTAGAGCTGCAAACACTAATAATAAATAATAAGTTAATATCTCAAAAATTTGAATCAAATATTATATTTTTAATCATGGATTGACCTTCAGATTACCGCTTTATTCGAACTTGAAAGCGTGTTCTTACCCGAAATTCATCAAACCTTAAAAATATATATGAGCTGATCAAACCGGAAATAGTTTATTCAGAAAGGCTTCTCGTGTTTTTACTTTAACTTGCCTTTTTTACTTTCACTTTACTTTTCCCTTACTCTTTAAATGCTAAAATAATAAGAATAAGTCAAAATTTACGACTGTCAAAACTTTTTAACAATATATTCTATGTCTTTATAACTTGATCGACATCTAGATCAATGCCACATTTAGACTTGGAAATATGATTTTAACGCAAAATCCATTATATACTCTTACGAACTGATCAGAAGGGGGAATACTATATAAGGACACTTTTAGCTTGTTATATTTTACTTGCACTGTTCTTAATTTTAGTTTGACTTGTCTTATTTTTACATCTACTGCTTATCAGCCATATTCGTAGGCCGTTTCGGTAGCCTCGAAGGATTCGAAAATTGTGATTTGCAGAAGCGATCGACTTTCGAAAAGATTTCCACACGCAACCGAAAAAGTTGTACACATTTCGTGGCAAGAACTATTCACAAATAAAAACGCGCAGCGAACTGTTGGCAATTGTCAAGACGACTGTTCAACGAAACTAAATTTATAAAAATATATATATACATATATTTGTAGAATGTATGACGAGCCCTGCATAATGCCAATCACATGCGGATAAAACAGCAAATGCCGCTACAGCAAAAATTACAATTAGCTGATAAGTTGCATTGATTGATATTCGTACAAAATGCTTTTGGCCAGTTTGACGGCCAAACAAATCGCTTGGTAACAGCGACTCGGCCACGTGTGCCTCTATTCAATTGCATAAACATATTTTTATGAATACCCGGAAAGACTCATAAGCTCAACACTTTAAATTTGGTTGATTACATTAATTAAAAACACTAATTATGATAATTACTGGAGCACTGAGTTGTAAATGATTTTGGATTAGTTCTTCAACATAAATGGAAATTTGATAATCATAAAATGGGTATACAAATTAAGGACTCTTCTGCAATAAAAATACTCTCTCGTGAGTTCATTTTTTCAGAATATCCGCTTTACAAACTCAGCTTGGAATCAGTACAAAATAAATGTGTTTTATATGCTCTTATTGGAGTGTATTATCTCCGTACTCCGATAGATTCCTTCTTGGCGACCTTTCCTCTCCAGCAAATCGTCATCTTGTGCTACTTTTTATGTTGGTAGTTTAATTATTAAAATGATTCCTTAATTTTTCAGTTCCTTCCAGAACCACTCGATGCTTCTTTCCACTTTCCACTTTCTCCTTTTTGAAAATTTGAACCAGTCTCTAAGAATTAGAATAGACTTTGTCATGCAAATAATTCCTCTTTTACTCTATTTATTTAATTTAGAACAGCATTTTAAGCTTCTGGCCTCGGGCATAATATTTTTGCATACATTTTGTGTTGCTGACTTTTCAACTAATCCTTACTAACTCTTTTTGTTGTTTATTTTTTGGTCTGATTGGATTTGTTTGTGTTTCCGCAATCCACGCAATCCAATCAGCACCAAATGTGCAATTTTATGCAATCATATTAAATTTAATCATGTTTCGTAGTTTATTTATTTTTAATCTGCTTTGCTGTATCGACTTAAATTCGTTGCCGTTAAATATAAAAATTAAGAGCTCAAATGAAGGATCATTTTCCTGTTCAGTCCAGAATAATAAACTGCATAATTATAAATTCATCGAAAATAGTAGAATTAATCCTCTCATGTTCATTTTAAATTTGCTGATTGTCAAATGTCAAAAATTAAAAAAAATAAATAAATAAATACTTAGTAGGAATAATTTGCTTAATATGAAAATGCGTTTTGCTTAACAAAATCTGTATTTCTTACTCGATTTTATTTAAGTTTTTACAGTTGATCAATTATATGTTCTTCAAATGTCTCTTTTATTGCCATCGTAAATCGATTTGTATCGATATTTCCCTATAACTATCCCTGTAACTATCGATAAAATAAAATAAGCTTAGCTCTTGTCTGGCTGAGATCCGATGGTTCCTACAGATTGAGACATGGTAAATCATATATATACTTTCTGGGATCGGATAGCCTTTCAACTGACTGTTAAATACATTTTGAACAACTTTATTATACCCTTTTACCGTTTTTAATGGGTATGCAATTCTGAAGCTTACTTTAATTTTGAATATAGTTTTTTTTAGTTGTAAATTAAATAATGATCCGTAGAAGCACTAAATGAATTAAATGGAATTTTATGAACTACTTCAACTTCATTTAATAAAATTACATATTTAATTATATATTTTAATATGTTTTTATGTTCCGCAAAGCACTTTCCAACATTGACAGTCGGTTTCTTATCTTATCTTCTAACAAGTCGGAGCTATATAAGATATATGTGGAGCATAAAATGAGATATATGCGAGAGGTGAGCGCTGTAAAAAGGCATACGTTAGTAAATTTGACTTTAGACTGATAATGCGCGTTATCATTACCGTTATCTCTCAGATAAGTTCAGTTGGGCGATGAAAGATCGCAACTTGAGTTCAGAAAGTGTTACGCAAAAACAAAATATATAAAAATACACCAGGAAATCACAGATAAACTTTGTTGGTCGGCTTAAAAAGATCTTCTTGTCAAACAATGCTCGTCAAAATATGAAATTGTGGTGAACCCATTTCGGAATCTATAAATACAAGAATAATATGCAAGTGCTTAGTAGAACAACTAATTAGCACATAAATTATATTGTTTACTATAATCATTAATATATTCCCAAATATAGTATGTAATAGCCAGTGTATCAATAGCAGTCAAAAGTGCCATCTATATGTCAAGTCTTACAAATTTAGTTCCTGAAACAGTTGCTGCACTTATAGCATTCAGCTTTTGCGTGTGAGCAAATCAGAGATAATTACAAAGCGACATCTATGGTTTCAAAACAATAACATTGTCTTTGACTTACCTAGCGTTAGTTGTTTGAAATGCAGATGCTTTCGTATCTTGTAGCTTTTGTCACTGATCGTAGATAAGCCAAATATCAGAGCGGTTAGCTTCTGTCAGCATGCAACTTTAAGTTAATTAAATGATGTGTTTTTACGCATTTAAGCATCGAATTTATTGCAAACAAATTGCTTATTAGTAGCTAGTTCAAACCAAATATCTTGCAAGCTCCACGAGCAGTTAAGGTCCTGCAATCGACAGCACATTTGAAATAACAGCTGGTCTTTATTTTGATACGGTCACACTTGGATTGCCAATGCACTTATTGCCTTAAAAATACTTCCATTGCAAAAATACTATATGTATTACATTTCTGCTTTGCGGTATTTTCTAGTTTCCATAGCGAGGGCATATTTGGTTTGTTTTCGAATTTGTTGTTGTTTT